ACTAATAATTACCTTTCTATAATTTAATTTGATTATTAAACATCACCGGCCCTAAGAACAAAATTTTCAATATGATTACTGAACATAACAAAGCATCCATATATAGTGGCTGATTAGCCCCCCGATGAGCTTAATAAGATTCCACGGATTAGATACGAATATTAATTTCATGATTAGCAATACACAGTGCTGGTTCAAACATTACTGTACCTAGAATTAGCATATTTTTATTATCCAAGAAGTAATAAAAAGCACATCCTACAGAGTAAAAGCCCGGACTCATCTTTCCTATTACTATTTCCCTATCATAATAAAATAAGGAATTAGTCTAGCAGAGCATATATCAGTCTAAAGCCATACTTCTAGCTATATCAATCCCTTTTACCTCACTTTTATTCTGCTACTATCCTGGGTTCCGCCTTTACTACAGTAAGAAGTAAACAACAGCTAAAGGAGATACACTATAATAAATATTTACCAGGCAGTAAGCAAGAACAACCTGAACATATTAAAAGCCACGCTGAGCAAGTCTACAATATCAATTCTCATTATAAAAACATACAGACTCCCCTCTGATTAGCGCTAACCAGTGGCCAAGAGCCGGCGTGCAGTTTTCTAATTATTCAGGGCGTTGGCATTAGCTTATACAGTAATAGTATCCTTAAAACCATATGATATTATCCTATTCCTCTCTCAATTTACCTGTAGGAGAAAGCTACTACTAGTATTATATAGTATTTTCCAAGCAATCAAGGATCCAAGAGCACAGACAACCTTATAGATTATATATATCTCTCAATCTCAATTATTTCTTCATTCTCCCATGTTAGCAATTCAAGTAAGAAAAGTAATGGATCACTATACACAGGCTTCATTCAGGCTTGATTAGTCATTGTACTCTTTAGGTTAACTATCACAGTAGGCCGCCCAACCATTGATTACGTTATGAGTCTATGTGCCTGAGATCTGAAGCCAGGCCATATTTATTGTAGGCGGAAACGGCTGTTGGGGTGATTCACTGGCTGCCTATCGATAAAAGTAACCGGAGAATGCGTCATGGGAAATACTATATCTGCAATGCTGTGACATTTGAGCAGGTCTCGCTGACCGCGCAGGACGGGGCATTGTTGAAGCAGTTGACAACTGTTTCGTTTAATGATGGCATTTCAGTAAGTGCCTTAGGTCCTATCAAATGAGATACAGAAAATATAAAATATGCTGATCATAGTTGCACAGCCTGTTACCATTGAGCGTTTCCCGCTTCCTCTTACAGAGGGTTTCCCACCGCTTGTAGTCAACAACGAATCAGTCTGCCTACGTGACTTGGATCTTGCCAGGGTGACTACCAGGGCGAATCTGCCCCGAGCATGTCAGACTACGTACCATAATATCTTCGCACAAGACATAACGCTCAGGGCAGATGGTTTTGAAAACCTACCGGATGTTATCCAAGGGTTATTGGGGACACAAAAGGCTCAGAAAGAAGTATAATAACCTAGATAACCATGCTGAGTTTGTATTGCAAAATTTCCCATTTACCATTGGATCAAGCAAGATTATCTCTATAATCTCTGGAGTAAAACACAGTTTTATCCATCTTAAAACAATAACTATCACATCATCTGCTTAGGGTAATTCCCTCGTCGTTCCCTATGTAATGGAGGTCTGGCCCCCTGGACACCGGTCTATGATCCACGACTATGGCAAAACACGTGCGATCATCCGTACTTTCAGGTACAATTAGTTATGCTCATTATAACACACTTGACACTGAAGAGAGACTATGACACGGGCTATATGGATAGATAATACTGTCATCAAGTGCAGTGTTTAGAACTCAAGGACATGATAATGGGCAAGGGCTTTTTAGCACAGTCATACCTACGTCTTGATAGCTTTTCCTTCTTGGAGACATACCTGTCAGATATGTCACGGCAAATGCAGTATGTGGCTATATAGATCCCTGAACCATAGCATTAAGCTGTACCATTTACCATATTGGTTACTGTAGGCGGCTTCTGTTAAGTGGTTCGCCTATATATTTCTTAACTATATCCAGACAGATAATTTTGTCTTGATTTGACGGTTGATAAGATACAATGCAGAAATATTACCCTTCAAACTGACCTGACTTGTGTGTTAGCTACCCCTGTCATTGGCTTACTATGTGGATCCCATCATACTTTACTAACCAGAGAGTGGAATTGATGACACCTATATCCAGACATAACGTGTTGATAAAAACGTGAATATGGAAGTCTAGTGTGTTTCTTTTCCTTAGTCTAATGCTGACCTTTATGAGAGCTCGTTGCTAGCTGTTGGAAATCGATAGAATAGTTGTCCCGATGGCGTCATCCTTTCATCATGGAATATTTCTCCCCTGTCATTGCTTGTATGATTTCATGGTTAATGATTTATACTTAATGTAAAGAAGTCCCAAACAAATTAAAGGAGATTGTGGAACAGATGGTGGAGCGAAGATAAAATTACAAAATCGGCAATAATTTCGGCTAGAACCGACTCGCTTATGGATGAGCCTGTGGGTCCAATTCCACCAATTGCACGAAACTGCTTCTTTGGGGCTTTTTTTTCCCCCCATAATCGACAGAGTACGAGACTGTTTTGTTAATATGGCTCTTGCTCAATGGCTGCTGAGATCCAAATGCGGCACCTCCGCTAGGCGTGTTCCGTTTGCCATAGGTTGAATGGTCGCTGGTATTGCCCAGGACTTTCGGGAAGAGATGCACGAGCATAGCACGGAATGTGGGCAGACAGGCGCACATGACGGCGATTTGGGTCTCCAGGACCGACCAATGAACGATGGGTTGGAGTTGTTCTGTACTTTCGAATTAGTAGGTATTGGTCAGGGGCGTGGACCCGGGACGAACCAGTGAGGTTGGTGTTCCAACGGTTGTACCAGAAAACGACGACACGAATGATTGCCACTGCTGTCAATCTGAGGAGGGTTAGCAGATACGGCAACAGCGAGAGAGACAATATGTACACTAGACCCATGGCGAACATGACACTGACTCCCAACTTTTTGCGAGCAGTCAAGTTGAGCTTGGTCACTTCATAAACCGGCATGAGCACCATGATTATATCGACGGCGATGTTAACAAAAGCGTTGGCGAACGTGACAGCAATGAAGTCGACACATCTCCCTGTTTCGAGCCCTTCCCACTGCGTCCAGGCTAAGTGGACGGGAATGCATCGAAAGGAATCGGTAAGGACCCATGTAATCCCAATAGCGGCATTCAGGCCGATGACCGCCCATGTGGTATAACGAAACAAATTAGACTGGAAGATTCTCAACAAGAACAGACACACTGAAATCTTTGCTAGAGAAACCTGTGTCTTGTACATCACAACGAACCCCTGAAAGCACTAAAAATACAATTAGAACATAATTGTGGCATTGATGAGTAGACACCCACCTTGAATATCAGAGTGATATTGTCCATTGGGATAATGTCCCACATGTTTTTGCCGAAACCCAATTCAATCACTAAAGGATGGTTAGACAATCACCTGGTGTCCAACAAACCAAACTTACTCTTAACATTGACACCAAAGATGCCCACTGCAAGGGCCTATAGTCATCATGAGTAAAGGACACGTGGCACGTGTAGCGTGGTACCCACCCATGCTATAGTAATCGTGACATCGTCTGCACCCCAACCACCACCAAGACCCATGATCTTCGCGAGGATTCGGTTCAAGAAAAGGAGCGTTGAGATGACTAGCGGAACAATGGTAGCGGCCTCCACGGCGGGGCGTCCTTTATGAACAGGGATTCCGCATTGTCGGCTATCTAATCGTTTGGTGACTGCAAGTTGTTAGATGGCAGCAGATCAAAGCCTGCACTGCGACATACGGAGCTGTTCTCTGCCTGTACACTTCGCAGTAACACACGTCGTCATGTCATCTTGAAATGCGTCATCATTACACAGGCATGTTGTATCGGTCGTTGCGCATGAGGTCGAGTTGGCAGCTAGAACTTGCGTCTGACAGGTAACCTATTGTACGGGTTAGCCGGGGGCAGGGCGATCCAATAGCACCCAAACATACCGCGCATTGAGGTAGAGTGGAATTCGCCGCTGAGGCCCCAGCGACCAGAGACACTGAGATCCCGATTAGTATCTCACGCAGGCGCATAATGGCCAAAAGGCCCCTCCAGGTACAGAGGTCACAGGGTCCAAGAGGAGGGAGGTTAGGGAGGAGTCACCACGAGACTGGACTGGAGGGAACTGCCATCTTATATGGAGTCTAGACCACGGGTTCCCGTTGGTGAGCTTTGATGCCGTGATCCACGGGACATGAGCAATGATCCTCATTGAAATTACCCCAAACAACCTCATGACCCGTTCTGTATGAGCTAAAGTTGACTAAACAAGTAGATCCTTATCTAGCATCCCATTTTACCCGGTAGAGACTTTTTCGAGGGGCTTGGGTCTATGGCACTATTTGGTATTCGGGGTACGGACCGGTATTAGCCTGCTACGGTAGCTCACTTTAGAACGTTCCAAGTGCCATGATTCGCGAGTACCAGCCCGACGGGGATCTTGTCCGATTTCCCGAAACACTAGATCGGCAGTCTTGTGCAGGCGGTTTTCGAGGCGTCCAATTGCGACTGCTGGTCCAGGGGTCTTAAGTGGGTCCTCTTTCCCCGAGAGACTCGTGTTGGTTGCTAAAAACAATGGTCTCGTTGGGCCTCGGCAATGGACGATCGTTTGAACAGATTCTGGTACCCAAGCGGGAAGCATTTTCCTTTGATATTTATAGAGAGTATGAGAAAGCATACATGAATGTACCAAATACTGAATAAGCTCATAGCTTGTGAAATAATTGACTTTAGCACTAGTCTCCATTCAGTTTACGTCAGAAGCGGCAGTTTCTGACATTTTCCTTGTTGGCCTCCACACACCCTCAACTGCTCCTATCTTTTTCTTTTCTCATTCCGCCCCTCATTCCCTCTTTCATATTGTCGTCGTATACAGCCCCAAGGTAACTTGGGCAGATTGCTCACTAATTTCTAGAGTGATGCTTCTGTGATACTACTATACTCCGACTGGCTATCTTCCAGCCTCCCAGGAAGATGCCGTGGTGGCCAGTAGCAATTTCCGCCAACGCCTCGCCTAACCCTACACCGGAGATGCCGATAAGACTACTAATCACAGGCTCGGTAAATTATCTTGGCTTCTCCACCACTTTCCCTCTTTGCTCACTCCACTTTGAATTGTCGCCAATCCCTTGGCTATTGCTGAGAGCTCGCCCGTCAAGGCTCCTATTCAGGACAAGGGGTGGATCATCAAAACTTACATTCTGCACACGGCATTTAGTGTAGTCACCGATGTTTTCTGGGTACTTCAACATTGACTAAGGCTTTCTATTGCTCTCGATTCATGTGCATCTACCAGCACGAAGGAAAAAGTCTAACCATCAGTAGTTCCGATCTGCCCTCCGTAATGCAGCCAAGACCCCCCTGACACCGCCCGTGCTAGTCCCTGACTGCCATGTGGTGCAGCCTCACGGGTCCAGAGGGAAGGGCAAAAGAAAAAATAAAGGGGCAGAAAGGATTTTACCGGACAAGAACAGGATTCAAATGGTTTTCAGATTGTGTCCCTGTTTCCTGTCAGTGCTTTGACCGCTGGTCTACTACAACCATTGATAGGGTGGCCACTGTTCTTAAGTGTGCCCCTCTCGACAGTGGGGTCTTCAATATTCCTGTCATAACTTTTATTCCACTTAATTGCTTGTTCGTTACTTTAAGTATTTCAATTACCTCAAAATTTTGTCTGGCACCGCTTACTTTGCATGTTTCCCAGTCTTCTGGTCGGTCGGAGGACTTTGCATTACACCACATAATGTCCGTCTGGAATGTACTTACGTTCGCTAAGCTTCTAACACACAAGAACTCCACCCCTACCTGTAGGGTTGGCATGTTTGTCATGTCTATTCCTCTCCTGTATTTGTTGACTCAATTCTATTGTAACTAACTGTAACTGAAATTGGCCGCAAGTGGAATCATTCAACCGCGATCAACGCGGAACTTGATCAGCGGCCAGTGGCCTTTGCAGCAACAGTTCACTCTGTGCACAGGATCATAGGTTACGAACGGAAGAAGAAGAAAAGTAAAAGGAAATAAAAGAGGGAAATAAATTTTAAAATAAAACTTGGCTCATCATGAACCAGATAGCCTCCGGAGCTATATCTTGATGCGCTTTGTTGCCGCACGTCGTAGCGCCGAACCATGATGATGGAATGTCATTTATATGGGAAACCCTTCTCCCTGGAGGCTGTTCTGACCGTATCTTTGCTTTTCAAGATAAAACCAGAGAAGTGTACTCTGTAGCAGTGTTCAATGCAAGGATTACAAATACTTCTTCTGGTTACAACCTAATGCATAGAAAATCGATTGTATGAATACCGCTTGAGGTAAAATGCCAATTGTACCAGCCACCTCAGCCTGCCAACCAAAGCACCCGGAAGATCTTGTCTCGAATTACCCCCGGCGTCACATACTGCGGATTGTGCGTCCGGGTCTTGCCTTCCACATAGATGTTGGGCTGGCTAAACAGTCCCGCCATCACCAATTTACTCTATATTCTCAAAATGTACGACTAGTCTCTGTCTTGCCCTGTCAGTACCGATGGCATTATCCATAGCACAATAGTAAATCTTAGGGAATTTACTGATCTATTAGTAGAGAATATCTTTGGCATTTATTTCGGAATTTGTGTACTCTTTGGGTAATAACTTATCTACCGCTTTTGTATTTCCCTTTACATAAGACTTCTTAATCTCAGCTGTCAGTATATTCTGACTCTTATGTGATCTAATTTTCAAAAATTTCTTCTTTACTGTTACGTGGTTTGGGTGGGAGCTAATATGATATAGCACCAGAGATAATCAAGTATTTATCTGCCGTGTCTGTCTGCCTCCTGGTAGCATTCCCTTGTTATCTTCTATATCCTCCTTATATTTCTATGTAGCCTGCACAGCTATTAATTCACAGATTTTACTTACTGCTCTTTACGTGCGATTCTCTATTGAGTGCTTGGGCAGCTCAGTCGGCTTATATTCTAGTATATATGTTTCTGTCACCATAAGGAGTAGGGCATCCAATATCAAAATTATCCTACAAGAAACTAGCACGTTCCTTCTGTCTCACCGCAATTCTTATCTTCTGTACAGTTTTGCAATGAAATACCACCTTCTATACATTGGTATATGTTTAGAAAACTAATTCCCACCATGATAAAGACAACGAGAAAACCGTATCGGGCAGTGAGCAGTGTATGTTGCATGTCACAAAAAGCAATATAAAGCATCTTCAGCGGTTCCCAGAACACAATCTATATCTTCAGGGTGGTGTTAAATCTACCATCGTAATGGCGCTGGGCCGAGGAACAGTCGTAGTCGCTTGGGTCGGTGCAAGTAGCCCGTTATCATCAATCGTCCAGACCTGCACTTGGTTGCTCACAGAAACCGCGATGTAGAAGAATCGACCGTCGGGACTAAATGTGCAACCCTTGGGCGAGATCCCATCGATAGGGGCAGTCTGAATGCGGCGTAGGCGACCGGACACCTCGTGTACGGCAAAAGCACTGACAACGTTATGACCGCGAACGAGTGTGTAGACATATCTTCCGGTCGGGTGGACACGGAGATCCGACAACAACACACCGGGTCCCCCGTTTAGGTTCTCTGGAAGAACATCCACTGTCCCTAAAGATTCATAGTCACCGCCCAAACTGTAAATGAATACCTCAATTATTGGGCGGTACTCATAATTGACGTAGAATATGGGCAGCGTGGGGTGGAAGGCTGAGTAACGTGGGCCACTGCCTTGCTGGACGTCCCGAATAGCCTGCAGGCGTAGTGAATGTGAGGCATAATTAATTGTCATCGTGATGAGCTGGTCTTTTTCCATGTCGCACTCGATGAGAAAGGAACCATCAGGTGATAGTGAGACAGAGTGCAGGCATGAGGGCTTGCTCTGATGGCCCGAGGCAGCGTGGACGTGGACATGGGAAGGCTGATCCGAGCAACCGGTGTCATCGAGAGTAAATAGGACTGTTGTGGCATCATCGTAACGGCGCTCAATGCGATACCCTGACTGGCCATCACCGGCGATAGTGGTGATACTGGTCCGGCTCGTGAAATGGGAAACAATAACCATATCCTCGGAATTGGCGAGGGCTATGCCAGATGGTTGGGTGCCATAGCTGGGCCAGTGACCTCGCTCGGTCAAGCCGCCTGTTGATGGGTCCATTGAGAAGACATAGATCTGGCCACCATTTGGTACTTCGTCCGTGAGGTACAGCATGCCACGTTTGTAGTCAATGGCGAAACTGCCAACGTTCAGCCCAGGGACGTACGATGCCACGAATGTAAGGGCTCCCGTGTCATTGTCAAGTCGGAAAACATGTAGGCCTTCATGCTTTCCCGGTTGAGGCATCACGAAGCTGCCGACGTACACATAGGTCGTGGTCGTTGAAGACATAGTGTCCATTTTTCGGAAGTCCAACAGCCCCGGACAGCGTTACGCAGGTGAAATTGATTTCTGACTTACCAAATAAGATTCATCACCTTCATATTATTTCTGGAAACTACGATCGGCACCTTACATAACGACTATTCAGGGTAGGCGAGACAAGCGAGGGATGCCTTTGCTAGTGTCGGCTACCGGAAGAGCTCGCCGCACACTCAGGCCTTTAGCGAGCCTCACCTGGCGGCACGTTCATGGAAGAAAGACACATGGGCAATAGTCTGGGTGTGCCTACAGGCATCATATCCCGCCAGCTACGTCAAGCTACCGGGTACATCCTTCAGCGGTAATTAGGAAGTATGGGTTATAACTACCCCGCGAATTCCCCGCAATCTGGGGAACATTAGAGGGATGGCCCTAGTCGCATCTCCACTTTGCCGATCCTCGCATCCAACAGCTCACTCGAACATGGAGAAGAATTCTCCTCCAACTATTGAGAGGGATAGCAGACCTGACCAGAATGAAGCAATATTGCTAGAGCGTGCGCATGCTGCCAATGCCGCTGACCATGCCCTCACCTGGTGGAAAGCGATATTCAAGTACCGAAAAGCCGTCTTCTGGGCGTGCATCTTTTCGTTTACCCTTACCATGCAGTCTGCTGATGCGACTTCAGTAAGTTCGGTTACAGTGCGAGCAAGGCCGTACTAAGTGGATTACTGACCCGGAACAAGACTACTTCTTTCTACGGTCAGACCCAGTTCAAAGAAAGATTTGGCACCGTGGACAATGACGTCCTTGAGATATCAGCAAAGTGGCAAACAGGAATCCAGCAAGCAATGGCTGTGGGCGAGCTGATTGGTCTTGCCATAGCTGGTATTTTGGCAGACCGGCTTGGGTGGAAGCCAATCCTCAGCGGCATGATGGTCTGGCTTACCGGCAGCCTCTTCCTTTTTGCCTTTGCACAAAACCTGGGGATGATGGTAGCTGCCATGGTTCTCTGCGGTAATTCCTGATCCGACGACTCCGCTGCAAAGAGACTAACGGCCAAGTCAGGGATCCCGTGGGGCGCCTTTCAAACAGGTTGCATTGCCTACTCTTCCGAGATGGTCCCAACTTGTCTTCGCCCTTTCGTCACGGCGTGGATAGGCATCTGTTGGGGCCTTGGCTTCTTTATTGGCTCACTGGTCAATAGAGGCTGCTTGAATTTGATCGGCCAGTGGGGTAAGTAATCCCTACCTTACCATCCACCCATTAAGTTATTTTTAGCTTCCAGTGACACAGAGTTAACCCAGCCTGGCGTGTGCCCTTCCTTGTTCAGTTCGTGTGGCCCGTTCCCCTGCTCATCTGCTTTCTTTTGGCCCCGGAATCTCCCTACTATCTAGTTCGCAAAGGTCGCTATGAGGACGCTCGTGCGACCCTGCGCCGCATCCGGCAAAAGGATATAACGGACGAGGAGATTGAGCAGTCCATCGCGCTTATTGACTATACCAACAAGATGGAGATCCAAATTAAAGAGTCCAGTAGCTACGCCGAGTGCTTCCGGGGCAAGAATCGATGGCGGACAGAAATTGTAAGTGGCGATCGGTATGCTGATTTACCTCAAGGGATATTCACAATCAGAAGGTCTGTATAGTTCAGATAGCCCAGACTTGGGGCGGCAATGGTATCAATGTACAGACGGTCCAGTTTTTGGAGCAGGCAGGCCTTTCGGAGCAGGGCGCCTTCGATTTGAATTTGATTCTCAACTCCCAGTACCTCACATTTGGTCTGTTCTGCATTTGGCTGATGACTAAATTTGGGCGTGCAACTATCTTCACCACAGGCCTCATTCTAAGTGACGTGTTCTTGGTTGCCATTGGGGTTCTTGGGTGCGTCAAGCAAAGCACGGCTGTTTCTAATACAGTTGGCTCGCTTCTTCTCGTGTCCACTGTCATATATATTTCGACCGTCGCTCCGTCTTCATACACGATCATCGTAAGACATGCGGATATTAATTTTGGGACGAGTAGTGACACAAAACAGGGTGAAGTGCCGTCTAGCAAACTCCGAGCTAAAATGGTCTCCCTCGCCCGGGTTGCCTTCAATGTCTCCAGTCTTATTTCAAATGTTCTACTGCCAAAGATGCTGACCGGCGGGTCCTGGAACCTTGGCGCTAAGACGGCCTTTATGTTTGTCAGTATCCTTAACCCTGATCGTTTTCCTGCTAATTCCTGCTGACATGGGTGAAAAAGGCCGGTACGAACGCTTTGATTTGGATCTGGTGCATCTTCCGTCTTCCCGAAACCAAAGATCGAACCTTCCGTGAAATTGATTATCTTTTTGAGGAATCCGGACTACATCCTCGTCAGTGGCGGACGGCAAGGATTGATGTTTTTGATGATGATAACAATGGCCCGGGCATTGTTGTGAGTAGTAAAGAGAAGGACTTTCAGCATGTCGAAAATGCTCTGTAGGTAAAGATGGGCAGCAGCGGACTCCCAAATAAATAGTAGGTTGTCAAGGAGAGTTATTGTTGATGGGAGATTGGTTACTCGGGGATAAGAACGAAGTATAGTTGTGATTCTCCGCATTAGAGTTTACAGTAGTGAGCTTGGCATATGTCGAGAAGTCCGAGTCGGACATTCCATATCGCACTCGATAGACTCACGTATCTATGATCTAATAGAGTGATGCGATTGTGATATATTTGATGGTTTGTGCTGGAGCGAAGCGTATCACACTTTTTGATGTTAGGGCCTAACACTCATTCGTTTATGTAGGGCTTCTATATTAGTGTTGCTTCACATATGTATGAAATCCATAGTACATGCAATGATGTCACCTGTGTTTTGGGACGAATGCATTTCGTGCCGGTAGTTTTATACTCTCAATCAATTAGGTGTGAGCATTCGATCAGCCCGGGAAGTTGGTAACGTTGTATGTTCGGAAAACTGCGAGTGACATCTTATGAGGGGATTAGTTGGAAGTATCGATTTGAGTAATCATATTGGCAAATATGTCTTTCCGGGCTCGGTAATGAGCCTCGCGTGCACTAGGTTTATATGGTTCGCAGATAACTGCGTCTACCAAGCCTTCTGGGATCTAACATAGCTTGTCCAGAACTCCTCCTTTTCCGGTTCCGTGGTTCGTATTGTCTGCCACTCCCCACCTAGCTCCAACAAAGTGTGGGGGTGTTCAATGAGGTTTGGCCAGGAAGCAACGCCTTCCGGACTCTCATTCTCCCCCGGACGGCCGTTGGGATTGCCACATCTGACGAAGTTGGCCCAAAGCGTAGACACTTTATCGCCAACAAGGCGATCGGTATTGCTCCAGGGCCGGAGGTTATTAGTAGTGAGGCTGTTGAATGTATAAGCAAATTCTGCACCATGGTACGCACCCGTAACAGGACCTTTCTGGTTTGTAAATCCAGGAACCTTTGGCTGCGAATAATCAGGTTGCCAGTTGTTCCAGGGGGGGATGGGATGGGTGAAGTAGTACCCGTACACGGGCGAGACCGTTTTCTGATGATACTCCTGGGCCCAGAGCGTGATATTGTTGCGCGTGTTATCTCGAGCAGCACTGTTCCATGCGTCCAGAGGACCCTTCCCTGTTTCGTGATCTGTGGGCGCGTAGAGTTGATGGAATCGTTTCACCCACTTCGAGTGACCTTGACCGTATGTCGAATGCGGCCCAAGGCGACTCTCCACACATTCAACGAAGTCCTCGTACGTGAAGCGAGGCTCGTTGTAGGTGCCGCCCTCTTCACTGTTCATGCCAGCCAGGATTGGAACGTCATTAGCCGGACCCTCTGCGAAGATCTGGTGCCAGGGCTTTGGGATGACATATCCATCGAGGGTCAACCGAAATAGTGGCGGGGGACCCCAGCAGCGAGGATCTCTTCGGGTGGACAACTCGCACAGCTTGTCTATGTCATTGAACTCCCGGAGCTCTTCGATTGACTGCAACCCCAGCTCCTTGAGGAGGTGCACGCCATCATCCTCGGCCTGCTGTAGGGTACGATACGACATGGGGCCATTAGCCACGGCTGGCTCCTGGAATGACCGAGGCCCGGACTGCAAGATGACACCATGAAGGAGGCTCTTCGCCAGAGGCGACACAAGCAGGGTGTGACACATGGCATTACCTGCCGACTGCCCTCCTATTGTCACTTGGTTTGGATTCCCCCCGAAGGCTGCAATATTGGACTGCACCCAGCGAAGCACCTCGATGGCATCAAGCATTCCCATCATTCCGGAAGTGCCTGACGGAGACTCAGCGCTTAATTCCGGATGGGCGTAATAGCCGAAGATGGCTAATGGGTTTAACGTTAGCAATCGCGAGAAACTTCGCCTTCTCGAAATTTATTCAGGCTTAAACTTACAAAGTCGAAAGGAAGGGACAACAACAATAACGCCCTTCTTTGCGAGACCGGTGCCATCGAAATTGGGATCGGCGCTGCCACCCTCCCGAAAGCCACCACCATGGAACCAGACGAACACGGGATACGGCTTCTCATGCGCTTCACCGGGCTGGAACACGTTAAGATAGAGACAATCCTCTGATTGCGGATGACCTTGGAGAACATTTATCCAGCGGGGGTCAGGGGGTGCCTGCGGACAGATGGGTCCGATCTTATGGCATTGCTTGATACCTTCCCATGTAATTACAGGCTGTGGGGGCTGGAATCGACGGGGCCCGGTGGGCGGAGCGGCATAGGGGATTCCGAGGTAGAGGGTGATGGAGGCATCCACGTCACTTGTCTTGCCCTCAATTAGCCCTCCGTTAATGGCAACTGGAGGAAACGAGGCAGTCATGTTTATGTCTGGATCCTTAACCTAAAGGACGTGCAGTTGTAGTAAAACTGGCGCGGTTCATCGACAAAAATCACATCGAGACAGCCCCTAATAAGAGTAAAGTAGGATTGTCTACTGAGCTCGACGATTGGACGTAGAGGCGGGTCCTGAATCAGCAGACCAAGCTTTGATTCCCCCGGACTAATTCCCCCGCACGCGATCGGATCTTATAAAACATCAGCCGACGCTCGCCTCTGCCACGTTTCAACATCTGTTCGTCCACTCCCCCTCTCTAGGCCGAGCAGCGGTAATCAAGCTGAAATCCCTCGCCTGTCTCTCGTTCAGACCAGGTCCCATACGGAGCCTGTATCTCGTACACCAACAAGTGAGTTGGCTGCCCGTCAGCTTGCCGCTACTCACGCTAGTGCAACCAAACGAGGGCTAGCATCCTTTTTCCGTTACTCCGGTTCGAGCCATGCCAGAGGAATCCCAGAAGAGAAAGCGGGCCAAGACTGGTATGTTCCTTGCTATAGAATAGAGGATGCCCAAGGCAGCCGCTGATCTCCCAGTTAATCTCGCACCTAGGCTGCTTGACCTGTCGTGCCCGTAAAGTCAAGTGCGACGAGACCCGGCCGCGGTGCATCCACTGCGGAAATCTTGGGGTGGAGTGCCGCTGGCCCGAACCTACAATCAAACGTTTCTGTCGTGTCTCAACGCCGTCTTGCAACACACAGGGCCCTCAATCCATCGCTACGGGAGGTCCCCGATTGTCTGCATGCTTCTCTTGTCGTTATGCCCGCTCGAAGTGCTCCAAAGATCGACCGATATGCGCCCGCTGCCGTGCTCAAGGACACGAGTGCAAGTATCCCGAGCCCCAGGGGTCCCACTCTCTCACATCCTCGGCGCAGTCCTGGATGAGGAGACTCCAAACGGCGGAGCTGGGCAACTCCGCCGAGCTCTCGCGTCCAAGAGCCCTCACCAGCCTCACTAACTCACCAGAACCAGAGTCTACAACACATCCCAAGACTACTGATGGTCAACGGCCGGCAATGCGGCCAGTCGATACCAGTCCCCCAGAGACGTCTGATAGGCTAGACGATGTTGTCTCCGCTCCTTGTGGAAGCCAGTCATCCCCACCACAAGCTGCAGCAGGTGCCGTCGTGAGGCTGGGCCCTTGCAGGAGCATTCTACCCAGCCAAGATAGTATTGAGCGTCTTGCTGTCGCTTTCTTCCGACACGTCCATGTATACCGGGCGAATGCCTTTCTGCATAGGGATCAGACTCTGATGGCTATTCGTGACGGCACACTCGGTACCCCGGTCGTCCTGGCCCTGTGTGCCGTCGGGGCGCGCTTCACCACTCCGCCCCAACCAGACGACGTGGTCATCAGCTGGGCCACCGAAGCGGCCAACTGGGTCACAACAGCGACCGAGGTCTCACGAAATCACGTTGTGGTCGCCCTTTTGCTCGCTATCTACATGCAGCAAGCTGGTCGATTTGCCCAATCTCATCTTTGGTCATCCATTGCCAATAGCCACGCAGTAAGTCTGGGTCTTCATCGCGAGCCCTCACCCGGCACCTCTTCTTTTGTTGAAAGTGAACGCGACCGGCGCCTGTTTTTCGCCTGCTATGCCATTGGCCGTTTTATATCCAATGGAGCTCCAGAGACAATTCAATGCCCTGCGTCCCGTATCAAATTGCGGCTGCCATGTGACGGCTTTAATTATCGCCACGACGTGAGCATCGAGACGCCTTATGCGACGCTCGAGTCAGACGAGCCAGAGACCCCCGGCCCAAAAGAAATGCAGCGGAATGTTGGGGCCATGGGATTTTGGGTGCGACTTGTGAGCGTGAGAATGAAAATTAAGCGCTACTTCCATTCCCTGACGGAAGACAAGGAAGAACGACGCACACATCACCAACCTAGTGCCATTGGCCCGGCACTTGCCCCATGGGGTGCTTCCTCCCCATTCGCGGTGTGTTTGGCACAGTTGGCCTCCCTGTCCGAGTCTTTGCCCCCGCGGCTGCAGCTCTCCCCCGAGTTGGTGCGTCGACAACACGATGCGCCTGTTTTGGGTCAGATTGTCATGTTTTATCTCTGGTGGAACGAATGCCACCTAGAGCTTTACAGCATCGCTCTTCACGGATATCCCCAGTCCCTAGATCCGACGGTCATGTCAACCGCGCCTGCTGGCTGGATTGACCAGGCCCGTCACAACTGCTTGCGGTACGCCCAGGCTATCACGGATGTTTTAGAACTCGTGGACCGGGAAATGCCTCGCCAGCCGTTGACTATCTCTGATCACACTATTGCGCACGTGGTTTATTTGTCTGTACGGGTACAATTGGAGCTCCTGATGCCGACACTCAAGGATGGCGGGATGCGTCTTGAATTAGAGAAGAAATTCGACATGATGCTGAGGTTCATACAAAGAACAAGTAGATACTTCCATCAAGTGTCCTTGGTCGTAAGTCTTGCCCCTCGTGTCAGCTGTCAGATGCTGAGAAGGTGCCCGGGAGATCTGACATTTTACATGCCGCAGCTTCAGGAGATGCGCCGTATGTTAGCATGCCACGAGCTTGCCTTGGGAACTTTCGAGAGCGAGGATGCGTAAGTCAGGCAATTCCATCTGCCCCAGTCGTCTCTATCCCCCCCGTGCAGATACCGTTAAATTGTGTGCTACTGTTAATGGGTAAAATAGAAATTCTCAGACTGCCTCTTTGCCTTGGTTCTGCCGTCAAAAGGCGCTGGACTCCAGACGAGCAGCCGAGCAAGCTGATCTAGTGAGTCTAAGCCACTTGTGCCTCTATAAAGGCCGGAGGCTTTGCTAACCCGAGACTCCGAACTATCCATCAGAGTGCAACACACCTCGAAGCAAATCTCGCTGAAATTCTGCCTGATTGTATCCCCTTTGGCACTATGTCTTGGGTTCGCGGGTACGACGCCGATGATTCTTGCCGACTTGTAGGTACTCCTGACTTGAAAGAAATTCTCCCGTTGCGTTTATATATATATATATCTGTATATCAAAACTAATTTGCCTCCGTCCGTCCAGCCCGAAACAGCAGAAGCATCGTGGGATATCTTGCCCAATCTGTGGATGGGAGGCTCGCACACTGGGCAAACAAATAACAACCTTGTTACAGCTATGACTGATTTCAGCAGCCTCAGTATATTCAATTCCTGGGAACGGATGGATCCTCGCGGGACTGTGAGTTGTCTCCCTTCATATATGTTACACTACAGGCCACAGGAGGAGCTAATGGCATGAGCAGGGATCTCGATTTGATCCACTGCTTCCTAATTCCTCGTTCGCGCATTCCAATGCAACGGGGCCCTGTGGAAATTCAAACGTCATTTCTTCGGACGCTTCCTTCTTTTTGAATTCATTGGACACGTAGGCTGTACTCGGTATTCAAACATGAACCTAGCAGCCTGTGAATTTGAATCCCATTCAAATTAAGAATTTTGACAAAGGGAATACCATTGATGTATCATCATCTCAGAGCTGTCTGAGTAAGCTTTCTATAGTGATGAGGGAAAGCACCCTTAGACGTCAGTATTTCCCTCCAGGGAGCGTCGTTACACTTAGTAACCATTAGAGTATTGACTATTGCAATACCACTGATTATTAGGTCTCTCAATGAACTCCTACCATATTCCCATTATTATTCGTAAATGGTACGGGCTAATTCCTGCATCATGGTTTTTCTTTGGACGATTATGAAGAGTAATGATTGCTACAACCGGCGCTGTGCGCATGGACTTTTGCGCCTGACCAGAGTGGAATCAGGCCATCTGAAAAACGATCATCCTCTGAATGCTACTTGACATCTATAGGCAGGTAGAGGCTCGGTAACTAAGGGGCAAAGTTTGCATTGGACCCGGAATGAAATTAACCTTGAACGTCAGTTGGCGACGGTCGCCTCTGGTCCTCTGTCAGATTAAACGGTGAATCTGCAATGAAGCTCACTCGTAGCCCCCTTGGGTTCCACTACTGCGAGAAGTAGTGTTTATATAATTACTTTCTACTAAGGCTAGCTTGCAGAGGGAAATGTGCTGTAGGGTGATCACGAGAAAGCCGTTCCCCTTAGAACTATGGCAAGCGACCGGAAGTCAACTACGGTGATAGCCGCTCCAGGCAATTGTGACAGCCCTGGAATCCATCCTCATCTGTTAACTACGGGCTATGCTGTGAATGTCGTGCTTGGCCCTGTTGTGTCCACACACAATAAGAGCTCTGCAGACGAAAAACATGCCGGTGATGACGACCACATTCAGGGCCGGCGTGCGATGACAGGTGGGCCAGGCAAAGAGCTTCAGACGCAGACAAACTTACTGCCCATGAAGCAGTTACTTGTGGTCTTCTCGGGTCTATCAATAGCTATGTTATGTGAGAAGATACCTCTTCGACCTAGAAATACTGGCGAGCTCATTTGACTTATACAAAATTCTCACAGGCTCGATGCTCAACCAGACTATGTACGTTTATTACATCTCTCCGATATCCGGGTATTGGTTTTTCCGCCCTAACTTGAACACACACCCCAAGCATTGCCACTGCCCTGCCTACCCTTGGTGCTGTATTCCATCAAGCCGATATTGTCTCCTGGGTGGGTACTGCCTACCTTCTAACTTGCACGGCATGTCAACCGCTATATGGCCGGTTGACGGACATCTTTGGCCGGAAGGTAAGTCTCCCAATCCGACGACTCAGCAGTCCTGTCTATTATGCATCATTTGACTGGGCTCATAACTTTAGTTCATCCTTTTGGGCTCGCTCTTTCTTTTTCTGGTGGGAAGTGTCATCTCGGGTGTCTCGAGGGGCATGATTATGCTGATCATAGCGCGTGAGTAATCGTCACTAAATTGATCTCGCTGCTCTCCACGCTAATGCCGTTTACACTTAGGGGCGGTGGCGGGAATCGGTGGTGGAGGTATTGTTACTGTGGTTAGTATTGTCGTATCTGATGTTGTGTCCCTTCAGGACAGGGGGAAATATCAAGGAATTATTGGTATAGTTGTGGCAGCCGGAACTGCGTTAGGCCCATTGATTGGTGGTCTCTTCACCGAGAAGGTTTCCTGGAGGTGGTGTTTTGTACGTCCTCTCCGGTATACCTGACCTAAATGGCTATAGCTAAGCGTTACCAGTACATCAGTGTACCCCTATCCGGGGTTGCTATGGTCGTCGTTGCCTTTGCGCTACCCCTTCGGAAGGTCGAAGGCCGTGCATTAGAGAAGATCAAGCAGATTGATGGCTGGGGATGCTTGATTAGTTTCTCTGCGTCAATTGCCATCCTGCTTCCCATCTCATGGTATGTCCAAGAGTTCTTCCACCCACCTGCAGCATGATTTCTCCCGGGGTATAATAACCATTCGCAATCTATCAGGGCTGGCACACAGTATCCTTGGACCTCGGCAGCTGTTCTAGCACCCCTGTTACTCGGTGTAGCGCTCGTTGGAGTCTTTCTCTTTGTCGAATTTAGGGTGGCCAGGTTGCCCTTGTAAGTGTACTTTGGTTAACAAAAATGATCATTTATTGCGTGTAACATTAACTTTTCCATTGCAGGATTCCACGTTAGTCTCAACCACCTCTTTACCGTAGTCAGCCGTTCTTTCACAGCTGATCTCTTCTTAGTGCATATGTTCAAGAATTCGCACGTCTCTATCTGCATCCTGACATCTTTCCTCACCGGATTCATGACTTTTGTTAACCTCTACTATGTTGGAACTCCCCAGGCCTTCTTCTATATTTGCAACTCAGACTAACAACCCCCTTCAGCTGCCCCAGTTTTATCAAGTCGCCCGGGGCGACTCCGCGCTACGATCGGGTATCCTGATTCTTCCACTAATCCTCTCGCAGATTGTCACATCATTTTCTTCGGGCTTCCTGGTTTCGAAGTACTCATGTTATCGAATCAACCTCATTGTCGGTTATGCTCTTTGGACAATTGCGTCGGGGTTGTTTACAATGGTCACTCCATCAACGTCAGCAGCGGTCCTCGTGATCTTCCAGCTACTGACGGGGCTCGGCAGTGGGCAGACACTTCAGACGACTCTGGTTGCCATTCAAGCTGCGGTCAAGAGGGAAGAGATGGCAGTTATCACTGGCGCTCGTAATTATCTACGAATGATGGGCTCGACTTTGGCTGTAGCGGCCAGTTCGGCTATTGTCAACAACATTGTCCGGTGAGCGAAAATGCATTTACATTCAACCAACCATTACTGCCTTGCTTTTATGATTTTCCTTATCTTGTATCACTTGGCTCCCAAGGAAGTTTTCTTGACGGAAAACGATAGGACGAAGCTCGAGGGAATCGACTTTCCGCGATCGATCATTTCCGAAATCATCGCCGATCCTACAAAAATAGCATCCATGTCACTATCCGCGGCACAAAAATCGGAAGCACTGAATGCGTACGGTGAGTTGTCCCTTGCCACTACTTTGCTTTATTTACCTTATCTGTTTACATCCCAACCAATGATATGCCCCCCTCTTTTACTTGGCGTAACGACTCATTGACTAAATGATTGCGACAGCGCACGGAGTGCAGGTCACATATTACATGATGACTGCCCTGGCCGGCATTCAATTCTTTCTTTGCGTCTTTTTCGTCAAGGACTACTCATTGAAGAGAGACGATGATCAACAGCAAAAGGAGGCTGCTAGAGCTTGGCTGGAGCAAAAAAGGAACAAGAGGGCGGGCAGCAACCACCATGCAGAACCAGCAACTGCTGAAGCTCGACAGCAAGTCGAGAACAAGGTTTAAAGTTAATACGGAACTATGCTGGCGAATAGTATTCTATCTAAGACGCTGTTACACTGGAATATCTGGAATAGATTGATAGTTGGGTTTCTTCAGTATTATATGTCAAATTGAGGCACGTTCTGAACCAATTTAGTCTACTATCTGCACGGCGAAGAGGTATTCTATACCTGTTGCCTTGTAGCGACCATAGAAAAAATATTCTGCTCTTCTATCCCGAACGGTTCATAAACTATTCAAATTACAGGAAGGTTGATGCGGCTATCTCTGACGATGTGAATTGATTGTGCGAAGCCCAATAGAAAAATTATTTTCCGCCGCGTCATGGACAGGTCGAATCCCTATTCGGGTGGCATACGAAGGCAAAGCTGTATCCCATCACATACTTCATCCATTATGGGCTATATATAAGAGCTTATTGATGATGAGGTAGTAGAATTTCTAGACTGAGGTACTAGTACTACTTCAAATGGGAGTGCCCCAGCACGCCCCACTCTCAGGCGTCAACAACCTTTGCCCGTGCGTTCCACCAAAATTGGAGTCCATCGTTGTTCAGGCCCCCCAGGACATGCTCTGCTGTGTGGGGAGCTCCCGGGACAATAGCTTTCGTGTAAGGCACGCCCAGAGCGTCCAAGCTGGTCCACATGTGCTCATGTGCTTCGCGTAGTCTAATATCCTCGCCGCCAATGAGCAACCGCAGCTCCGGCTTGTCGCGATGGACCTGAGGGAGGATTCCCTTCAGAAGCGTGAGGGCATGATTAGAGGTGAAAAATTCCTGCGAGCCGTTGTAGGTGTCGTAAGTAACCTCAAGGCCCTCCTTGGCTAATTCGGTTCTGAATGAGCCAGCAAGTGACGACAAGGCGCCTCCGAAAACATCGGGATACTTGAGACCAAGGTTGAAGGCACCATAACTAGTTAACACTTAGTAAAACGACACTCTACGGGTGTTTGGCCACCTACCCGCCTGCTGAGTGACCCTCCAGCCAACGCGCTGATGGATGTCTAATGGTCCTGTACCGCTCATCAATGCCTGTGACGAGATCGTGGCGCATGATGTCCCCAAGGCGGCGGCTGCCGTCGTAACTGTTGATCCAGCGACCTTTTGGCAACGCCTATGAATGGTGTCAGCAGATCCGTAGATAACAATGATCACTTCTCCTCTTATTATGCCACATCCATACGCACCTGTGGTGCGACCAAAATCACCTTGGGCATAGTGCCCAGCTCCATTTTGCGTGCATAAAATTGGAGTGACCACAGCGCATGGCGGGAGCATGAAAAGCCCCCATGTAGCCAGTAGAGTACGGGGTATCGTTCTCCGTTTACATCTAAGTCATTGTAGCCGGGTGGTAGGACGACCAGATAGGAGCCCTGGGCTCCGGGACCGCGCGTTGGTTGGCTGTAGAGCTCATAGGTAACATTTTCTGGAAGCTCCCACACGTCTGTGTCAATCCACATGTGGTTGTAGCAGTCCAGAAGGCGCTTTGGCGGAGTCCATCGGCCTGTGCAAATGAATGTAAGCATGCTCACCCATTAGATCTTAATTACCAGGTCGACTCACCACCGTATACGGGGATCGGGGGATAGACTTCGTCTGGTTTGTCGATAACAGTCATTTTGGGTAACCTGGCCTCAAGAAAGCTAAATTTGGGTTATTTGCTTGATGTACCTAGCATGGGCCTTATAAATATGTTTGTGGGGATCCGGGGCGAATAAGCCATGAGAATTACCGGAGGGCGTCGCGAATGTCGCCTACATAGGCGATGCTCGCCAAAAAGCTCCGACGGTCGCGGCCATGTCAACGGCGAAGAGCTGGATGGAGTCCATATCGCTCGAGCCACCCTACTCAACAGAGCTTAAGATGTCCGTTCAGAAAGTAGGGCGGTCCGTTCTCCTCCATTCAAGGGTGAAAGGAAAGATAACAAGAAAAGAAAAATTCGGAAAGTTCGAAATAAAATAACCCTCGCCTTCATTAGTGCTCTTCTGGTTCAACCGCAAGACCGGGCTCGGCAGTCATGGATAGCGGCACGACTTTGGACAACCGATTGATGTTCGCCATACCTCGGAAAACCTTTCATCAACCCAACTACCCTTCTTCCTCACCATATACAGGAGAAGTCATGATGTCAATGGCCGATCCTTCCCTGGGCATGCCACAGAAAATAGCCAGTCACTGGTCATATCGTCTTCTTCAAACTAGTTCGTTCGGTATTCTTGGTAGATAGATTTTATTAGATACATATTGACTGGTGTTACTCCGGACACCGTCAGCTGGGCGAAACGGTAGGACTTAGTAAATACATTAGTTTATTAAGGAATACATTAAATCGTCCGACATAGCATGAGGGTTTCACTGTGACATGATGGATGATAGTATAAGAAAGAGTGGCTTTCAGGGTATCAGACTAGGACCATGAGCATATTGAACACGACTTGAGGTATTAGTTCGCGCGATCAATCTCATCATCCTGGCGACGAGGTGGCGCTTCCGGGGCAGTAGTCGTCATTGGTGGCACAGTGGTTTCTTGTGGGTGTGTGACTTGGGGGGAAGAAATCATCGCCATTTCGGGATCAGCCGGAGTAGAAGCCGGAGCAGTAGCAGCAGCAGCAGCGGTGGATGCAGAGGCTGATCCCGGTCGCGATTGTGGCGCCACGCTGGGCGAGGGACTGGGCTCCAACAGTCGAGGACCAGGATTCTTTGCTGGCTGCTTGCTGGTCTTGACCCGGGCGGGTGCAGGACCGAGTACCGGCGGGTACTTGTACCGAAATCCCCAGACGAAGAAGAGACGCAATTTGGTCCAGAACCCCATTGCCTTCCACCGCTTGCGAAGGACATCTCCATCTGCATCAGAGCGAGCCCGATAACCCTTCCGGAAAAAGCATAGCAGTAACAGGGTGAAGGGGAGAATAGTCAGTGACCAGCAGACAGGGAGACCGCGACGTGTTTGCCAGCCCATCATCAGGCGGCGGAATCGGATCCACGCCTCAATAAAACCTAAGATCAACCAGAGGCCAATCCAGCCAAGTGTCAAGATGAGGGTGAGTGCCAGCGGCGTGATACCCATGTAGTAATCGTCCGTGAACCAGTTGTAACCGTCATCATAGCCGTAATAGCCGTAGTACGAGCTGCCGCTGTAGTACCCGTTCCCGCTGCTGCCGGTGTAGGCACAGCTAGAAGCAGTATACAATGAGGTAGGCCGATTGTACAAGCTCATTGACTCCAGTGAGCTTGTGGGAAGCTGCGTGGGATCAACGTAGACAATGTCGATAGTGTAGGTCGTCGGCTGAAAAGGTCTCACAGAGTCGACCGAGATCGATGTAGCAACAGCCGTGCGTGGGAGCAGATCCTGGATCTCTGTAGGCGGGACAACCTCAACTGCTGTTGTCTGGGTCCAGCGAGACGAGCAACCAGTGGGCGCCGAATATGTCATGTTGACAACGAACTTGGTACTGTGGTAAACGTCGTCGTCGTCATAGCCATAGCCATAATCGTAGTCGTAATCATCAACCACTGACCCGACGCCTGTTGGGTAAAGTTGTTGAATGATAGTCACATCTTTTTCGGCGTCCTCGTCGTCGTTGTAGTAGTAGTAGTAATTCGAGGAGCCGAGGGAGGTAGCGGTCGAGACTGCCTCGGGCATGGAAGTGACGGTGGGAGTGATTTGCTCAATGAGAGTGGTGGCGTACGTAGCATAGTAATGCCTTTCTGTGGTGACCACCTCCTGGTAGTCTGCAGTGACAATCCATGGGGCAGCATAAACGAAGGAAGAGAGTTGGAACAGAAGCAGAAGGGAGATGAATCCCGAAAACGAACGTGAGGATGCCATCTCCGACGGACAACCGCTGAGGATGGTGGGTGAGGAAGGGAGAGAGGACGGAGAATCCGAACGAGGGCAGTCCAGGGTCCATTGTGGTCAACAGGGCTTATCTATAATTACCTCGAGGTTCGAGCCTCATATCACTCCACGTAGGAACAGGTGGAAATTGCTGCATCTTGATGGATTGCCTCCTCGGGTAACTGATTGGCAGGGTTTCGAAAAAGGGTCCGGAATGGAGCCGTTTGGGAGGGTTTAGCGCCGGCGCTAAGACTCACGCTTTTTTTTTTTTTCTTCCTTCCCCGTCGAGATAATTTCACCAGGGTCCAACAGGGCAGGATCTGATACTAAGTTCTCACTGGTTATTAGTCAGTCCTTGGAAACTTCCATATCCTCTCCCATCCTACTGTACACTCATGAACAAGTAAACATGGGTTACTAGGCCTCAGACAAGTCGCGATACGTCCGGATTCCTTTCTTTGTGTGGCAAACCGGACTGGGGGGCGAGAACTGTTAGCGTCTTCGCTCTTGACACCCGATTCTGTTCACGGTCGCAATCGAGTCTAGTTTATGCCACTAGATCAAACAGACTTCGACGGCTTGTTCCGAAATTCCTCCAATGTTGCCTGGCTGGCCCCTGGTGCCTAAGTATCGAGCTATCTCGTGATTGTGCCCCCTAGTCGAGAAGTTGGCTGGAGTTCGTATTCCCTGTGGTCGAATCCACTCTTCGGACAAGCCACGCCGAGGGTTGAACCCTGTGCTAAAAGATGCAGCCAATCCAAAGACTCAATGGCCAGTGGTTTTGTCCATGAGGGGCCGTAGCGATATGCAGACATTTGAAGCTTTCTCACATTTGTGGCCATTTGTCTGTGGGTAACGACCTCGAGAATCATTGAGCTGCACTCCATCAGACCGGGTTTTCTGTTCGATGGGAAGACACTGGGTTTGTTGCTTTTGCGTACCTTATATCAAAGGTTTTCGTACGGTTCAGTTGCAGTATGAGTGACGTTACATTGGGTAAATACAGTCATGTATATCGCATGCGGGGTAGTTATTCGACAGGCAAACCGTATAGGGAAAAGCACCAGTAACTAATATTGGTCTTCAGACCACTCCTGTGGAGCATATCATGGCTTAGTCTCTGGGGTTATGTCGCTGCAGAGCTCCAATATTGATGCACTCGGTCTCGTGAAATTCCATCGAGAGGTTCTCATCGTACTGCTGCCGAAGTCGAGGCGTATTCTTGTCTTGAAGAACTGTCGCCACTTTAGTCTCTCGAGTGGTGGTGAATGCCACCCTGACCCGAGACCTGGGTGCTAGGCCAATGCTGAGTATTCCAGTAAACTGAAACGCAGAGACCGCCAAATCATCAAGCATGTCATATGGGAGCATCATGACATCTATTGCCCCCTTCTGGGCTGTGATGCATATACCAGCAAGGACTGCTAGGTCCAGCTCGCGGCGCAAGGTCGTGGCGGAGATATATCGCAATGAATGTAGTTTCTCACAGCCCCGGCCATGCCCAAAATCACGTTCTACCTGTCCGTGGTAAAGTTATGAATCATGATCAAGCCGCCTGTATACTGGTCCCTGAATGCAATCACCAAGTCATGTTTGCTGGAAATGATACCTGTGGAGTTGGAGACTACGAAAATACATCCTGCTTTATTTTGGCTGGTGCTCTACGTTGCTTCTGCTGTAATAGTCTGCATGTTGTTGATCTATGGGAAAGTGCTAACCACATACATTTCAAGGGTGATTTTTCCATCACAGTTGGCCATTTGAGTGGTATGGATGGTAAGGTATAATCACGGCTATTCGGGAATATCTCCATAGCGACTCGCACGGCTGTTGTTCCCATCTGGAGCGTCGATGGGGAATCTGATGCCTGTAATGGAGCTGATCTTGCTCATGATGAATATGGGTAGTATCATCCCTGTATTTATTTCGGTTGCTGCTGAGGACTAGCTCCCTGCCTCAAAGTACAGCGATATGTACGGATCTGGCATTATACCAGCTGTTGCCATATGTGGGTTGATTGTAGTGACCGACCGTATCCGAATTACGGCTGTGAAAGGCCTGAATCGGTGAAAGAATGACTGAGATTCAGACAGGCGATACCATGGTAGCAATATTGATTCTAATCTTGCGGTGAATCATAAGTCACAATAATGAAAGTACTGAATAGCAGGGTGGCTCCATTCCCCATATCATGCTACAGCTCAACAAAGGCTTCGCGTACGTTCCTTTTCAACGCAACCCAGCCCAGACTGGCAGCAGCTAGCATCCGACTGTCTCTCGAGTTTCCTTACATAAGGAGTGGTCCTTGACATACCAACACCAAGTTTGGAACCGCTGTCTACGCCATGGGAGTCGAATAGCATTAAACTGTGTCAGTGCTTTTTACCCCCTCCTTAGTCAGCTCGTAATAGTTATACGTACAGGAATAGTTATGTTCCAGGAACCATTGACATGATTGGCCGCCCGTGGTCTGTAAGCTTCATAAGCAGTTCATCAATCAGTGCGATCTCTGGCATTAAGCTTACTTAAACTCGTCTGCGTGGAAAACTGCCCCAGGCTAGAGCCTCACATCGCACCATCGCCCCACAGAAGCATATGTTGCATCATTAGCTAAACCGATAGTGAAGTATCCGGCTTATAGGTCAGTCATTATTCTTCGCGATGTGTCTGCGCGGTAAATCCCATCACTAGAGACTTCCGTATGTCTGTTCCATGTGTATGTATTCTATACACCCCAGAAATTGAAATCGGCATCCACCTCAGAACAGCTAGATAGAGGAGAACAACCAACGAGCTACCCTGTAACCTACCTTGTAACCAGATTATTGCACACGGGTCCTCTGGGCAGACTGATACAATACGGCAGTGAACCTGTTCAGAGCTTCCACCACTAAAAGTGCTTCTGTGTCGTGGAATGCAACAAAAAGCCGGTGTGACAAAGGGTTATTATATTGATGTTTTTGTAAAGATCCCTCCCCGTCTTATTCATTGTTGAGAACGAGTTGGGGTTGCTACTAAAGTCGTCATAACTATGTTGTGTCTCGGGGCACTCGAATGTATTAGTAGCAGATTGAAGATATATTTCCATATAGTACAGTGCATGGAAGGGGTGGCTCGAAGTTTGATTTCTCAGAGGAAGCAACCACAACCAAGGATTTCCAAGTCTAACCCAGAGTACGTATATAACCTGATATGCTGCTCTGTAGTGCTATTAGCTCTCTCGACCAGCACATCCAGACTGGCTACTATTACCCTCGCTTATGTCTTCCTGGTCATATTTATTGATGTGACTTTTCGCTTCCGTTCTCGTTTTCGTCTCCCATTCGTCCCGGCCATTAATTCCTGTTTTGGCTTTAGTGGGTCGCCCCACTTTCGGGAAGAAAACCCAGAGAGCCGAGCACAGCATAACTTCTGTGCAGAATGAAGACATTGTGTTTCATGCCCTGTCTCCCCATCAGAAGACTAATATCGCCTGACCATATCGTCAAATGATCTGCCCTCATCTACAAGGAGGTATATTCCAATTCTACTTCATGTTAGATAAGAATATTTCAGAGAAAGAAGCAACGTTTAGGAGGAGGACTAGCTGACGTAAGCTCTTCGGGAATAACTGTAACTATTAAATTATTCAATTTACTCAGTTAGTCTCGTTCGTGTTATGCTAGACATCTATCAATTATGCATCAACATGAATGGTGGCCAGGGACTAGTTTCGCTGTGCAGGGGCATTTATGATGGGGGATTTATGTGTATTAGGGGCTACTGACGCTTCCCATTGGCCCGCGGATCGAAGACAGCCGAAAGGGTTCTGGAAACTAGTACTAAGTAGGAGTGTGGCATAACCCGTTCGGTTACGACTTTTGCTATTCTTCTAATCTGCCAGTGTTCCTGACGGTCGGCATAACTTCCCATGGGTCAACATGCGATGGGGCTGCGGCCAATTCGTCCTCAAGTCGTCTGAAAATCCTCCCAGCATAAAATCTGGGTCATTGCCCTTCTATCCAGTAGATGTAGTCTGCTTACCCCTGTTTCCGTTCTTTTCCCCTCCCCCTCCAAATCTTTCTACTATACCTACCGAGGAGGGCCAAGATGGGTGCATCCGATACCCTCGCCAACCCTGACTTGGAAAAGGGTCAGCCGCCCGCGACTCTGCAGCCTACCGAACTGCATCCAGACAACGTCGTAGATTATGATGGCCCCGATGACCCCGAAAACCCATTCAACTGGCCTCGCTGGAAAAAAGGCCGCCAGTTAGTTCTCATGGCGTTCAACACCTTTATCACGTATGTCTCGCTGCTGCTATGTTTTTGCTTATCATATCCTCTTCCATGCTGTCCGTTCTTGGTGCTAATAGCTAATACCACCACGTTAGACCCTTGGCTTCCTCCATGTTCGCCCCCGGAGTGGAGGACGTTATGATCGATTTTCATTCCACCAGTACCATGCTCGCCTCCTTCGTGGTGTCTGTCTATGTCCTGGGATATATGATCGGCCCTTTTTTCATCGCCCCGCTCTCGGAGATTTATGGTCGAGTGCCCCTCTATCATGCATGCAACATCCTGTTCCTCATCTTCACCATCGCCTGCGCCGTAGCCCAAACCATGCCACAGCTGATCGTCTTTCGTCTTCTGGCTGGTACCGCCGGTGTTTGCCCCCTCACCATCGGCTCAGGCACCGTGGCCGACATGGTTCCCAAGGAGAAGCGCGCCGGTATCATGGCCGTCTGGGCCATGGGGCCCATCCTCGGCCCCGTGGTAGGACCGGTAGCTGGTGGCTTCCTCGCCGAAGCTGAAGGCTGGCGCTGGGTGTTTTGGGTGATCGCGATCGCTGTAAGTCCAGACTTCCACACTCCAGCCGCCCCCTCCCGTCGCCCGCTAATACATGGATCATCTTGGCCATAGACCGCAGTGATGAGTATTCTGTGCATGATTTGGTATCGTGAAACCTATGCCCCCGTCATTCTGGAGCGGAAAGCGGCCCGATTACGCAAGGCTACGGGCAATCCCAACCTACGTTCGGTCCATGACCGTGGCCAGCAGGTGCGTGAGCTTCTTCTGATCGCATTGGCTCGCCCAATTAAGCTCCTCGTCAAATCGCCCATTGTCCTCCTCATGGTGCTCTTTGCCGCCATCACCTATGGGTACTTGTACCTGATGTTCACCACCATCACATCCATCTTCGAGGACGTCTATCATTTCTCCCCAGGCGTCGCAGGCCTGGCATATCTGGGATTCGGTGTGGGCTGTCTGATCGGACTCGTCATCTGTGGCGCCGTTTCCAATCACATTGCGCGCACCCATTCGGCCAAGGGGTGTTTCACCCCAGAATCACGCTTGCCGCCCATGGTCTTCGGTTGTTGGGCCATCCCCATCGGCTTATTTTGGTACGGCTGGGCAGCCAAGGCGCAAACGCACTGGATCGTGCCCATCCTCGGCACTGGTGTCTTTGCCATTGGCCTGATGACCGTCTTCATGTCGGCCAGTACCTATTTGGTCGACTCCTACCTCCGCTACGCCGCCTCGGTGACGGCCGCCAACACGGGTCTACGATCGCTGGTTGGGGCCCTGTTGCCCTTGGCTGGACCTTCCATGTACGATGCCCTGGGCTTGGGATGGGGCAATTCTCTTCTCGCCTTCATTGCGCTCGTGATGTGTGCGTGTCCGCTGTTCTTTTGGCGGTACGGGGCACGCATCCGCACGCACCCTCGATTTCAGGTCAAGTTGTAAAAGATACCCTAGACGTGTATAGACAAAAGCATTCATAGAATAATGTACATAGAACATCCTATATTACCAAAGTTATATCCGAGTTACCACCTTCCCCCCCAATGTCTCTTGTTCATATGAGATGGACGAGGTTACATATACCGACAGTGAGTGGAGTGTTCCGAGTGACGTTGACTGGCTGCATCTCGTGAATATAAGATTTTGATAGAGCGGCGGCTGGTACGTATAATGTGGTTAGAAAGACCTTCCATCAACTTTTTTGTAATTTAGTTTGTCCAGATCACAGTCCTCCAGCAAACGGACCTGGATCAATTAGCATCACCTTTGGCCCTTCAATAACACCGATGCACTCACATTAACTGCTATGATTGGTGGCGCGTCCTCTGCCACCAGCCGGATGAAACAACTGCTCCCGCAGGTCCCACAAAACTCGTGCTTCGCCTGACGCCGGCCAAATTGGTACGTCCGGGTTGTTTCGTCGCCGCTCTCAAGGGTGAAGTCTTTGAGCGAGGGGTACACGAGCAGGTACCCATTTTTGCTGCAGATAGAGCAGTTGCAGTCGACGACAGGATATTCGGACAGAGGCGGAGACAGCGAAAAGCGGAAGCTCACAGCACCGCAGTGGCAGTTGCCTTTGTGCATGCTCTGCTCTGATGTTGGGGTAGGGAAGAAGGACATGATGATCGGTTGATAGGTTTGGGCATTAATGGCCGTGGAATGGAACTTGTACTCCCTTCAGCCACCTCGTCTTCCAGGGCTTTGCACTTCTTTTAAAAGGAGTGCCGTAAGCAAGGCTATCCCCGCACCAATCTCACGTCAGCGTGGATAACCGCAGCTCCCCGCCAATACGCCTGATGGTAGTTTTTCTTTGCTCTATCAGAGGCTTACTATCTTCGGGGTCTTTTGATTACTTTGACGGAACCATTTTCTGTTTTCATTTTCTTCATCTCCTTTTCATCTAACTCTTTATTTATGCATTATCTTTCTCTGTTGTGGAAAATCAAATTTATGACAAATATTGATCCCATATTTCTCCCAGTACATGAGGCACTCTAGAATATTCTATATTCTTCATGAGGCTTTTGTCTGAATGACTTGGACGCGTAATGCCACGATGACACAAATTGTTCTGAAGCACGCGTTTAATATAACCCCGATACCTACTAGGGATAGAGGTTACAGATTGATAGGATATTTAGATAGTTAGATCAAATATTAACCTTACACATAGAGTGTGAGGAATATATTGACCAGCATGCAACTAGACCGCAGGTCCATCCCACACCGAACCATCTCAGCATAGGTAATATGGAATACCTCTGGTACTACTTTTCTACCACAGTACTATATCTGCATATCCTGCGCGGTAACTGCCTGGAATTAATTCAATCTGATCCCGTTCAAAGGCATGGCCGCCTCAAACTTTCGACGTAGGATGGTGTCTAATACAAATTCATACACGACCCATGATATCCGGGCCTACTACCGTGAGACCCAACTACCGGGAAAACTGTCAGCATGAACACGGCCCTTTGAAGACACTACATTATCCATTTCCTGAACAATTCACTAGACCATGATATGAACTACATACAAAGAAACTCTGTCTCAGGTACAACTCCCCTATTTACGCAGGGCCGCCCAGCTCCTCCGGAAGAAGCCACGCTTCTCACCGTTTCCCTTCAAACTATCCATGACAAGTTATTAATCTGCAGATAATTTTAAACTAGGTATACGATCACCAGGAAAGGAGGGCCACTGATCGCGGCAACCGTTCGGACTCGGTAAAGGCGCGCTCGGAATTCCCCGTTGACGGAGCTGTCCTCGGAGGCAAGTCCGTCGGGACTGAGCTAGGTGACGCGTTGAGTATTAATGTAGAAAAGTGACTACTGCCTCAAATGTTCCAAATTAACCTCTTGGTTCAACAGAAATTGGCACGCAAAATGTCCACCTGCTCTCAATCTCACCACACTAACCGTTCGCGCTCCATCCTCCATGCCGCAAAGAATAGCAAATACGCTGTCGGCGCCTACAACTGGTACATATTTCCCCCGTGAATCAGTCTTCCAGCCCAATCCTCTCCCACTACGAGACCTAACGAATTAACCAAAGCTATAACACCGACGGCATCATGGCAGTCATCCGCGCCGCCGAGCGCGCGCACAGCCCCGCCATAATCCAACTCTTTCCCTGGACTATGCACTTCCAGGGCGCACACTTCATCCGCTTCGTCGTCGCTGCTGCGCATGCCGCTTCCGTCCCCATCGCTGTGCACCTAGACCACTGCATCGAACCCGATGACATCGATTTCGCTCTCACACTCCCCTTTGATTCGATAATGATTGATGGGTTCAGCATGGATGAGGCTGAGAATGTCGCGCTCTGCGCGAGCACGGTAGCCAGGGCGCATGAGTGCGGTATGGCGGTCGAGGTTGAATTAGGGCGGATTGAGGGTGGCGAGGATGGCCATCCTAACATGGACCTAGGCAGTGTGATGACGAGGCCTGGCGATGCACGGGAGTTCCTGGAGGCGACTCAGGCAGACTTTTTGGCGCCCAGCTTTGGGAATGTGCATGGGGGCTACGGGGTTGTGGGAGCAGAGGGATGTTGGGATTTAGAGCTGTAGGCTACTCCTCATTTCTCCAATGTGGTTAGGTTGTGAAGATCAAAGGGCCACTGACTGTATTCATTACTGTGCAGGCTCCAACAGATCGAAGAGGCCGTCCCGTCCACTCCGCTCGTCCTGCATGGTACGCATCCGGTCTCGGACGAGCTTTTCCTCAGGGCAATTGAATGTGGCATGAGCAAGGTGAATGTTAACCGGACGGTGCGCGACAACTACACGGCGTTTGTGGCGGAGAATGCGGGAAAGCTGGAGTTGACGGTGCTCAAGGTACGGGCAGTTGAGATCTACGCCGAGTCGGTGGAAAGGGTGATGAAATTGTTTGGCTCGGCAGGCAAGGCTTGATCCCGCTTGAGTATTCATAGAGAGTGTGGTATCAGTGTAGATTCTTCCCGAATTGGCCTGTCAAGGATGCGTGCACCGAGTATATACTTCAAAACCTAGTCTGATATCAGGTTTTCCTTACTAAAGATCGATGTTTATATGTGCAGAACGAAGAAATGGACACCAGTAGAATGTCAGCATTCTGTTCTTTGCAATATCCAATAGTTACATGTCCACATTTCACCCACTACCCGCCCAAAGACCAGTAGTTGAGTGATTCTTTCTTTCTGAAAAAGTAAAACAAGTCGACTGGCGAGGCGATCAACACGCGGGAAAGACGGATCTAACCGAACTCTTCGGTAGCGGTCCGATGGGTTGGCCCGGCCATGGCCGACCGAGGGTGGGGTTAATGGCTACATTTTTGAAATAGCAGTATATGGAAAGAGTGAATCACAAGTATGAGCATCCCAGCAAGCTCAACTGCACAGGCTCGACAACACTCTGATGTAGCTGCCTGGCAATGGATGCCTTTCATCTAGTTGGGAAAAAAAAGTGCATACAAACAGATGAACAAAAGGTCTCAGGGCACTCAAAATGTGAGAAAATGGTAACGATCATGATTTGAGAAGGTATTGGTATAAATGAGTAGATAGGGACGCATGGCTATTATTGTCTCCATAGGTCTGAGATGTAGTTACTTATATATGTTTGGCAAATATGATAACCATTGAATGATAACCTGGTCTTACATTATCACAACCAAAATTGACGAAACATTCCTATAATCACATATACCATCCTAAATTATAGTATCCGTAGGTATAAGTCAAGGTAATCAACCATTGACCTAGGTGGGTGAGCTCAATATGATTAAGCGGACGTCGCGAGACTCTGAACGACTCATTGTATGTTCTCAATGAGAGCATTGCTATACGCCTTTACATCGTCTTTTGATCTTCCACGATTTCAACCTAATGCTAGCGGACAATCCGATAGTGGTAGTTCTGGGACACCATACTGCTTTGCGGCATCAGCGAAAAGAGTCTTCTCCGCATCCGCATAGGGAATGCCCTCAGCCCGCCTCTGTAACCCCAACCGGTGCTCGGGCTCCCCAGGAAACAGCACCTCCGAAAATCCGGGCGCCGGACTAACCCCGTGCACACGTTGCGCAAGTGTATCCATTCGAGCTTTGAAATCCTCCGTGCTCATGATGACATCGGGCTTGACAGCAATAAAGCAGTGGCCTACATTCTGGGGCTTCGTATCCTTATACTGGTCTCCAACCTGTCCGCCAAACTCGGCGCCTGCCAAAACGCCCGACATAATGTCCATAAGAATCGCAATACCGGATCCCTTCGGCCCTCCAATTGGCGCCATGCTGCCGTTTAAGGCGATATTTGCGTCCGTTGTCGGGTTCCCATCTGTATCTAGGGCCCAGACCGGAGGGATAGGCTCACCACGGCGTGCAGCGCGTCGGATCTTTCCCTTGGCAACAACAGAGGGCGCCATGTCAAGAATATATGGTACCTCCGTGTTTGACGGAGCACCGGCGGCAAACGGTGAGATCCCGAGGAGCGTTTCTTTCCCTCCGAAAGGGGGCATCTGTTTGGCGGAATTGGTGAAGACAAGCGAGATCATATTTGCCTTGAGTGCTTGGAGGACGTATGTTGCTGCCATGCCAAAATGATTGGAGTGGTTGACCGTTACCATTCCGATGCCATAGATTTCTGCACGCTTGATAGCTTCGTCCATACCGCGAGTTGCGACGACGAAGCCAAAGCCGTTATCTCCGTCCAGGTGTGCAACTACGGGGGTTTTATTGGTGATCTTGATGCTTGGCCGGGCGTTGACCCGGCCGTTGCTAACGCGATCAAGGTACTGCGGAAGCCTTGCAAGACCATGAGTATCCTATCATCTGTTAGATAGTACTAGAAACAAAGTACTTGGGATTCTTACGACACCGCGGACATCGGCTAGGACTAAGCACTCTGCCATCGAGCGTGCGTCCTCTGAATCGAGGCCTGCTTTGACGAGGAGCGCAGCCGCGAACTCCTTTGCTTTTTCCGGATCGGCGTAATAACGTGGCTGTTTAGTGGAGGACATCTTAATGGTGAGAGGAAGGAAGTGGTTAGATACGTGCAAAACCTTTCGGCGTCTGAGGGAGTATATTTATATAGCTGCCAAGGTCGGAAGTTCCGAGAATCGGATGAGGGGGTTAGGTCGGTTAAACGCCGACACTCACCCCACTAGTAGTGTTTACGGGTAATTTATTGAATGGGACAGGGTGCAGTAAGTCCAAACTCGCCCTTTTCACATATTTCTCAGCGGCAACTATCTTGGAGTATTTTTTACTGGGAGAACAAAAACATGTACTCGTCCTCCGGCGGAACTTCAAAGTCAAAACGGACCAGGTCCTCCTTGTATGGAAACATATACGTGCTTGTAACCCTACACCCAACGACCACATTAGCAGCTTCCTAGACACTTATTAGGTTGCCGCTCACCTGTGGTGTTCTTTGCTTGCCTGATACTTCTCTAGGTCTGCAAGAGACTCATGAAAGCTCAAAAGCGCAAACTCGAACCCCTTACTTCGTTCAATGGCGTCGGTCATTGAGGGCCCTCCCACGACTAGTCGATGTCCTTTCACGCAGTCCATATCTTTGAGCTTTTTGAGTTCTCGAGCGAAGGTCTCTTTATGCGCCGCAGTTACATCGGAGCGGAACTTGAACATCACTAACATCAAAGAAGTTTGTTAGCTTGTGAATACGCGGTTAGAAGAGAGCCAGTGTACCCATGTGCACGATTGTCATTTCGCTCTGTTTGCAGATACCGTGGCGCTAGTTTCTGTCTTTGGGAGATGAAATGATAACTAGAGTAGAAATAGCCAATAACGAACAATTTTATATGGACATTGGGTGTACTAATACATAAAGACATGTCCCGGCTCTAACCGTTCACGGGGTAGGAGAAGATAACCTCATTTCTTCGGCGTTTTGCCGTTCGCCTCCTGCCCCGAAGAACCCCTTATCACTGCCATGGCTATTATCCGAAGCCCTGACCGACATTACCGTTCATAGTACTAGGATACCGTGTTGAGACTAGTCCTGCCAAGTGCTGCTTCAGCGGGGTTGAAGTGCTCTCCCCGTGGGGTTTGACTGCTTGGCATCCCCGTGGGGAAAGGGTATACTTGATGATGGGTATCCCATGTAGTGAAGCTGCCGCAATGATAGTTCCTCCGCTACTGTCTCATTTCAACATATACCACAACTTCTGCTTGGAAAAATCTGTTACTCACGTAGTTACACCATGGAGCACAAATCCGTCGAGCATACCGAGCTTGTCAGTTCAGGCAAAAGTGGTCTCGAGCCTGACCGACTAACGCCTGCCCGGACAATGACTCCCGAGCAATTTGCCCTGGCAGAGAGGAGGCTGAAGAAGAAACTGGATATGCGTCTTTTGCTCTGTGTATGGATTATTTCCGTGATGAACTACCTGGATCGAGTAATTTCTCCCTCCCTGTGCACTTTTGATTGGGCCTCATGATAACACGACTTGTGTGGTGTAGAACAACATATCAGCTGCAAAGATAGCCGGCATTGAGGGCTCCCTTGGCCTAAGCAGCACGCACTATGCTACAGCCGTGGCTCTGCTTTTCGCTGGTTACGTGCTGATGCAAATCCCATCCAATATTTTTCTGGCCAACCTACGCCCTTCACTCTACATCCCGTCCGTTATGGTCATCTGGGGCATGCTCTCTGCGCTGGTAGGAGTCGTCCACAACGCAGCCGGTTTGTATGCTCTCCGGTTCCTGCTTGGGTTTGTTGAGGCAGCGTTTTATCGTAAGATTCCAACCTCCTCCCGTGTGACCCTCCTGACATGACTCTAACAGCCGGCGCGCTCTTCCTCATCTCATCCTGGTATAAGCGTTCCGAAATGGGAGTACGTAGCGCCTTTCTCTTCTCCGGCTCCCAGCTGGGAAGCGCATTCTCCGGCCTTATCGGCGCCGGCATTACAAGCGGTCTAGACGGGGCCCGAGGGCTCGAATCATGGCGCTGGATCATTATTATTGAGGGCTCAGCAACCATTTTTATTGCTCTTATGGCCTTCTTCATCCTCCCAAACTACCCCTCGAATACCCCCTGGCTAACCCAGGAAGAGCGCGCCGTCGCCGAATGGCGCCTAATTGCGGATGCCGGTCAGGTTGACGAAGATGATGAACGCTGGAGCTACGGATTCCAGATGGCTTTTAGCGACTGGCGGCTGTACGCCTTCGCGCTCAGTTTTCTTTGCATCCAAGTCGCGAGTGCGACGTCCAACTTTTTTCCCGCCGTCGTTAAGACGCTAGGTTTTAGCACTGTTAATACCTTGCTGCTTACTGTGCCACCGTACATGGTAGCCCTAGTCATCTCTATAGCTAATAATTGGTCTGCTGATCGGCTTCGCAATTCGTCCTTTCACGCTATATGGCCACTTTCAGTTGCGATTGCCGGTTTCATTATTGCGGCCGCTACGCTAAACACGGGCGCGAGGTACTTCGCCATGATTTTGATGGTAGCCGGGGGGCATGGCTCGAACGCTGTCGTGCTGGCCTGGACGCAGAAAACAATGCTTAGGCCTAGAATTAAGCGGGCGTCGGCTGTGGCATTTGTTAATGCCTTTGGGAATCTTTCGCAAGTACATACCAACCTCCTTACCTTCAGCGAACGAATCAAATAAAAGGATTACCATGCCAACAGTGCTTTTGCAGATCTTCTCCTCGTACTTCTACCCCGACAGCTCCGCTCCGCGGTACGTGACCGCCATGGCAGCGAACTCATCCTTCTCACTCGGTGCGATTGTGCTAGCGCTATTCATGCGATTCGTTCTCCGTCGCGCTAATCGGCGCATCGATAGGGGGGAGACAACCGTGACGGAGGAGATGAGAGGCCACAGCCAGAGAGAGATTGCTGGTGTCTCTGATGAAGAGCGCATTGCGCGAAGGGAGGGGTTCCGATACATTGCCTAGCCTACCCAAAAGCTAGCGCATTTTGAGGACCGGATGAGTCACTGCTCTTCCAACATCTCCATGCTGCTTTGTAGTCACTGCTTTCTGGCAATGTCATCTTTCTAGTTCGGTGTGTGTTCCCTGATTGGCCCCAGTCAATTCAGATATATATTTGGGCCTCAGAGTCATTGAAGAACGTATCCTTTGAGTAATCAAACTACTGGTTACAATTAGACGAAACGAGACAAATCAGCTTTCTTGGGATCTCCTTTGCTAAAGCTGCCTCTTCATGGACGGATGTACTACCAGACGCGAAGGACCGGGTAGCTAGGCTATTGCAACCACGCTTTATATCACCTATAATCTACCCTTACCGCCCCCTAAACTCCTTGAACACATCTTGTACACTCCTTCCCGCCCTAATCCCCTCTGCACACTTCCGATCGGCCTCCACAATTTCCGGAATAACATCAAGCACCTCCTCCACCGTTTCCCTTGGCACACGCACAACTCCATTCAAATCGGCCACAATATAATCACCCGGGTTAATCCAAGCCTCCTGATGTTCAGAGTGCAGCCGCACGCGAACGTTTACTTCAGAAGGCCGACAGACTGCCCCACCAGCTGTTGTGCCGGCATATCTGGAGAACAGCTGTACCATTTAACGTAGCTGTTAGTCGTGTTGTTGGAGCCAGAGCGCCAACGTGTTGGCCATGATGACTTATGAGGAAGGAGAAGAAATATGACATACAGGAAATTTTAGGGCTCGGTGCTCTCCTAAATCTCGTACACGTCCGTCAATCACTACCCCCGCTGCACCTACCGCCTGTGCCCGCAGCGTCATCAGCCCACCATAGACGGAGTTTACCTGTGGGAGGGGCTGGGATATCACAATCACAACTCCGGGTGGGACCATATCAATCTACCTCATAGAAAGCAGTCAGCCAAAGCAAAGCTGTGAGTTTGCATGCCCAGAAAAGAGACGTCACGGACATAGTTTCCACTGAGTCTCGGCGCAGCTTGGTCGTCTTTTGGCACGAATTTCACCGTAAATGCTTGGCCAACGATCTTGGTCTCTCCGGCTAGGTAATCTGGTGAATAGAGGGTGAGGCCTTCGAGGAAGCCTCCGTCTGGGTGTTTGAGTTTGCTGAGGCCGTCGGCAACCTAGTGTAAATTAGCATTGATTACGAGCTGACCAAAAAGTACCAATGTGTTGGGTCTGTGCATGGTCATGGTCATACGTCACAAGCGCCCCATTGCTTAAGACGCTCGATGATATCTTGTGAATTGCTCGTATGAGTCATCTTTGAGACAAGCCCGATAGTAGTCGGTGAAAATGATATCTGGATGAGGCCGCCGAAATGCATTCAATTGCCTTTATACAATTTGCTGGCGTCGTGAATGGGCGATATCGGCAATATCGGCTGATCCGACGGACTTCGGGGGGTTGCCGTCTCGCGGGGGAGGCTCGGCCTACGCGGACTACATGAGTGTCCTTGATGAACGAGTCAAAAGAATAATGAGATAGTCGAGCAAGGTCATGATATAGTTACACTTCAAATACATAATGGGAAGTACTTATTCAAGCTACAGAAATGATGAATTTGACGGTCTTCTGGGGATCAGGTCATTCTCCAAGACTACCTACGGCAAAGTTACCCTAACTATCAAAGGCCCTCAAAAGCTCGGAAGTATCCCAAACTGGTGGCTGGGTAGGATCCGAGCCCCAATCACTAAGCCAGCCGAGGTCAAACAAATCTCGTAGGATGCCCAATTCATCTATCAGCAGCGATCTACCGTCCTCTTGTGGCACCATGCTACCCCCATTTCCAAGCTGTGTTTCGGCGGTTGGATGCGTTGTAATGTCATCCGCAGTCGCAGATCGCCTTTGGTTCTCAGCGGTCTCGCGCATAGTTTCGTGGGTTAGGGCAATCAGTCGTGAGAGCTTTTCGCATGGCCCCTCTGCTACAGACCACCGCCGTTTAAGGAAGGTCAGGAGCTTCAAGGCGGAGTTTACACGGGATAATGGAACGGTCGCTGGCGTCAGATCCCTCACCGCTGGGTAGGCCCAGAGGCAATACAGAACTGTAATGGCAGCAACAAAGATAGTGTGGGCAGAGAGCCACGACCACTCCATGTTTCTGAAGCGGTGAAGCTCCGTGTTGATCTGGATTATCTTCATTGCGCTACCAAAACAAGACTCTATGGCTGCGAATGTCGGATATGCCAGTTGAGGACTGGGTCGGTAGAGAAGCATGATGCACTGGTGGAATTTGATCTCCAATCGTTGCACGGTAGTTCCAGATAGTGAGCTAGGACCGCACACGGAACGCCCGCGCTGCTGAGTGTGGACTTCAGTTAGGAGATTCTTGCAGGCTTGATCTGTCTCCCGTTGCCAGGAGGATATGTTTGATGGCCAGGGAAAGCGTCGTGGTGAGCGAGAAACGCGGTATATCATGAGCTTGATCTCAGCAGTAATTCGGTCAAATCGTAAGGAGTAAATAAATGCTAGATATGTCGACGGTATCTGCTCGTACGGATGGTGCATCATTTTTGCACTATCCCACCTGATTGCTGCTTCTTCAAGTTCATTACTTGCATCCAGGCCTGGGAATGGCTGATCAATGGCCTCATCTCTGAGGGTCAATGGACGACCGAGAATAGTGGTTAGTGTCCGATCCATTGAATAGGCCGACCAGAAGATGACGCTACGTCTTTGTGCGGCCAGACGGTATGTCGCCGAATTCAACTCTGCTGCATCTAGAGGACAAGGTCAGACATTGGGGCGCTCACATCTCGTTGCGTCAACTCACATCCATTCCGCCGTTGAAGTCCAAGGTCCAGACAGCTTGCAATGATAGTGTGAAGCAGATACCAAGCATTCAGACCCTCTGGACTATAGAAGCTGTGAAGAACCATCAGTAACAAAATTTGCACACCCTCCATGCTGTCCTGAAGGCAGATCTGGGAACTGTGAGTCATGGCAGAGACGAAAAGATCACTGGAATCAAAATTGGACCCTAGGCGTACTTCAAGGAACCGTGCCCCCAGGGAAAGAACAAGGCCCACTTGCGCCGCAGCTAATCGGATCGGAAGCGGATGGTTCCATGTAGAAGATTCATTATACTTCTGAATCTGGCTTAGGAGCTGATAGAGCCCTTGCTGTGAGATGAAAGGATAGAGATATGTGCCCTCAAATTAAGCCTCGGCGTATTGCTGGCATTCGGCCGGAGAGGGTAAAGGGATGGGCGGAATGCTAGATGCATCTGAGCTGAGCGCCCGTCCTGTCCCTGTAGGCGGAAGCACGCGAGGCTGTTTATGCGTGCCTTGGCCTTGAGATAGCGACAGTGGGAGGCCTTGTGATTGCGGTGCGCTTTCATAGATAAGCCGAGCAAAAGAAATACCAGATGATGGTCCTAGGTATTTTGGTTCTGTGTTGTTGGCGAGGGACAGAAGGCCAACTTCATGGGCCAGCGGTTGGTTGCGAGTGATCTGGGTCGAGCCCGGATCGGCTGGTGACTGCACGGCAAGGCTGTGGTGGTCTTCACCCAGGTGAATGCCATGATTCTCGACGACTACAGGGGCCGGTGTTGGACTTGCATTATGCCCATCAAACAACGCATGTTGATCACAGGCGCTTCGGCTATTGTCGGTACTCTCAGCATTATCAGCATTATCGCGTAACGGAAATGGCTCCAGTCTTTCCAGCTCTCGAACACGCCGTTCGAGATAGTATAATCGACTAGCAAATCAATGGATATTAGCAGACAGCATAACACCAGGGAGGAAAGCCACCTTCTGGACACAGCAGACGCAGCTCTCCCTTCCAAACAGTCCACACCAGCTCTCGCGCAATTCGAGCATGCGGGTACGGCGCCATCACAGCGGACTTTTCGCCGTCGGCAGCGGACACAAGCCGAAGGACGCCGTTTATGCCGAGTCGGGGCAGTTGGGGTCCGCGTCTTAGAGGTTGTGTTTGCAGAAGGGCGGACCAGTTCGGTTGGATACGATCGTAGGCTCCGCTGCTCCATCCTGGCATATCTGGCTACAATACAATACAGGGGTCTCGAGACCGAAGAAAAGACGGGCAGTGAGCGGGTATATCGTTGTCAGAGAAGGCAACAAGTTGATCGGGGGGCGGGGAAAGACAGCCTAGTAGTCAATCTCGGCTGGCAGCCGACCCGAGGTGCGCTGCAAAATATATATACGTACTAACTAATATTTAGTTGCGGCATCGGTCCGTTCGCCATTCTAATAATAAGTAGACTCGGAAACGCCAGCTTCGGATAGATCCGATAGACCACGAAGCAGTCTTCAGTTCTCAAACGAAATCCGCTCTGCCGAACTCCCAGCACAGATATTTGCGGGGTGAGAGTGGAGATGCTTTGATCTGAGATCCGGGGAAATCATCAAAATACACTTTAAGAATGGCAACTTGGTGGGACTGCCGGTAGTCGCTGGTGTCTGCAGTTTTCCAATTATGCCTTTCAAGTTTGCTGGCCTTACCCTTCTACAGACAGTGCGTTTGTTACGTAAAGTAATAGGCTCCACTAACATTGACAGTTGTTTTTTCTCGTCAGCATGACAATCGTCAAGGCTAAAGCCGGGCTAACAGTCCCGAAATATGCTTGGTCATTCCCCTGGCTCGTGGCAACCAACTATTCACTTTGGTGTTGACTCGAAGATAGGGACTCTCATATTCATATCATCGAATCCGACAAGTTCCCCCTCAGTCCTGACAGAGGTGCGCGCTGTTGACCGTTTTCAGAACGTAAGCCCAGATCTGACCGACTTGCCCTGCTAGACTACACCCCCAAAGCTGCGACTCGCGAGCAGGCCCTGGCATTTGAACGCCCCGTCGGCATTCAGCATGCCGTCATTGTCTTACCCAGCGTATATGGAACTAATAACAGCGTCCTTATCGACGCCCTACGCTCCACCAACGGTACTTATCGCGGCGTCTGCGTCTTAGACCTCTCGGCGGAAATCGATAACACTACCCTTCAAACATTTCACGACGCCGACGTCCGCGGAATCCGCATTAACTATGGTAACGAAGGGACAGACGCACAGATTACCGCAGATACCATTCGCGCGGCGTCGATCGCGCGAATTCACAACTGGATCCTGCAGTTATGGGTCCCTGTCGCCTCCTTCAAGTCCCTTCACCCTATAATTCCAACCCTGGGGGTACGCGTCGTAGCGGACCACTATGCTCACGCGATGACAGCTTCCCGTACGGGCAATCTACAAAATGCGATCGATCCCTTCAGCATCCCCGGGTTCCGAGATGTGGTGGACCTAATGCGACGAAACCACCTTTTCGTTAAGATCTCGGCGCCGTACCAGAACTCCCGGGACGAGCCGCTGTATGGTGATCTGCGGGTAATCGCGGAGACACTTATGCTGCATGGACCCGACATGGTGGTTTTTGGCAGCGACTGGCCGCATACGGCGAGTAAGGAGGGGAATGGGGCTGGAGGGAGATTGGTTGAGCAGGACTTTAGGGACGTCGACGATCAGGCTATTCTGCAACAGACGCTTGAGTGGGCCGGAACGCAGGCGCAGGTGAGGAGGTTGTTTGTGGATAACCCAAGAAGGTTATGGGGGTGGACCAACACGGAGTCGTGATATGAGACATTGTGGCAGGGGTGGGTTGTGACGGGCACCTGTTGATCAATATTGTATTCCTGCCGCTCGCTAATGCTAGTCTATTTCATTAAGCAGTCCAGGTAATGGAATATCAATGCAGCTCTCGACCGCTGACTTGAGCTATGTGGCAATGAAAGCCGAAGCATGCTTTCCCACTTATTATCGCCGATACCAACGATATCTACTCAAAAGTGGCTCTGTCTTCGTCAATGCAGTAATGCATCATATCCCATAGATGTTACATTCAAGGTGCCATACATTGTTAGTAATATACACCACAGGATCAGCACAAGCATGCTCCAATGTTGGGGATGCTCTATAGTTAGAGGCATGACGGTGATAGTTGCCTCCTCAGCAGAGAGAATCTCCTCAAGCATGACCAGTGGCGATTTCACGAAGGAGGGTCTGGACATGTCGCTGTAGCTGGCCCTTATCATGACACACTTTCACTCCATAGCTACCGCGTCCTCGAACAGGCTTGCCGACGATTGGGTACCGGTCGATATGGTTGATAATTTCACTGATATTTTCAGGACTCACCAGCCTGGACTTTGGTAAGGTGTAGCCTCCAAGCTCCCGTAGTTTATCGTTCAGATATGCCTTGTCATCAAAGCTTTCAACCAGGCCTGGCGGCTGACCCACTACGTAGATCTTAGAGGCTACAGGTGTTAGCCCAGAAATGCGTGGTGCCCTGCTGGGCCGCGCTGTAAATTCCTTCCTCCGTGTCTGGGAACGCCCAGCCTTCATTGGAGGAGACTGGGGCCGAAGGATCTGACTTTATGACCTTCACGCCCTTCTGCCGAAGGGTGTAAGCAATGTCTGCGCCAGAATCCTGATAGCCTGGGAAGGGTTCAGCTATAAGCATGTCTCTGAGGGTACTGAAGGCTTACCACCCGGCTTGCGAGGCTTTGTGACGCCACTGATCACGGGTGGGTCAATAGCCTGGCGAAGAACGGCCACGGTCGGGGTCTTTGTGCTAAAAGCACAGATGGCCTGAATAGACTTTCTGACAGATTTTGAAGCAAACATGGTAGTAGTTTGTTTGAAGAATCAGAAGCTGAAAGGGTTTGATGATGATGGTTATTTTAGGCTGTGGTTGGCCTGCTGGAACTCTCCAGCCGTCGGCTCTTTTCCGCGCCCTGGGAAACTCCGCACTGCTTTTCGGCGAGTCTCGGAAGGTCATTTCTGGTGAGGCTTATGGCTTACGTGGATCAAGACTTGGAAACCTATCAGTTTGGCTAGATCACACGGTTTCTATGTCCAAAGAAAGTCCTTTCTTGCACTTTGATGATCGAACCTGTAGGGGGTTCTGTGCTGACAGTCAATGTCCTTACCAACAACGCCAGGACAAATCATGGAGTAAGCACCAACGTGTGCACTTGCTGGCCTGAGAGGCGAAGCTGTTCAGTGGTTGAGGTTTGGAGAGTCAACAGCTAAGCGAGGGAAGTTATGTCTTTCTCGTCTTCATGTTTTTATAGGGAAATGCACAATTACAAAAGGTGTAATAACCGTCCAATAAGAAGATAAAGTTACTGTATTCTGTCTAGCATGAGTGGAATCCAGATACCGGTTATATGGCGGTAGTAATATCCTCATATATGGGTCTTAACCTCACCCGCAACGCAAGCAAAGCGATGGTACCAGTGTGAATAAGGAGGATTACCCCGGACCCCCATTCAATTTGCAGACTGGGCCTGGATCAGACCAAAATGTTTCGCCATGGTCTCGATACCATTCTAGTGTCATTGTAAGTGCATCATCGAATGAAACTTTCTCTTCCCACCCTAGTTGCCGGAGCTTAGAGTCATCGGTCCAATACATCCGGTCATTGAAGGGCCTATCTGTCACTGTCTCGAGATATTGCTCACACGCATGGCTCGGACCTGCGTGAAACCACCGTAGAATTCGTTTCGCAACGTCAATGACTTTAATCTGCTCCTTTGAGGAGATATTGTAGGTCTCGGATACAAGACCTCGATGGAGAATGAGATCGAAAGCGTTCACGACATCGCCGGCAAAGACAAACCCACGAACTGCGTTTCCCTCACCATGTAAAGTCATACGCTGGGAACGCAGCATTTGCATCGCAAATTTGGGGATGAGTTCTAAGAAAATATACGTCAGGAACCAGCAGCCCTCTATAATGTCATCAGGGAGCTCTTACTCTCGGGGTACTGACAGGGACCGAAAACATTGTTGCAGCGAGTTATTATGATGGGCATATGGAAAGAATACCGATAGGCATTGGCGATCATCTCAGCAGCGGCTTTGCTAGCCGAGTATGGATTGGTCGGGTTCAGCCGATCTTCCTCGGTAAAGGCATAGTCCTGGTTTGGTCGATTTTCTCCGTATACCTCGTCAGTAGATACGTGGATAAACCGTACGACCGTCCCGGCCTGTCGTGCTGCTTCCAGAAGAACATGGGTCCCAGTCACGTTGTTCCGAGTGAAAGAGACGGGGTTAACCAGAGACTGATCCACGTGAGAATTTGCTGCGAAGTGGACAATGGCATCCACTGTAAACTGCTGGAAGACAGCTGTTACCCTGTCGGGGTCGCACAGATCGCCTCCAAAAAAGTGGAAGTTGGGAAGATGCTCGACGGGGTGTATGTTGCACTTGGACGCGCAGTAATCGAGGATATCAAAGCAGAGTACCGTATACCTCGTACCATATACCTGGAGGAGGTGCCGAATGAACCAGCCCCCGCTGAAATGCAGTGTTAATTCACCTATCGATGTCTCTACATCCGAATGATCATCGCCTGGTAATAAACTTACATAAATCCTGCGCCCCCAGTAACCAAGATGGTTTTCACACTTCCCATAGCATCCTCATTATCTGAGCCATTGCTTCCAAGTCCTCGCTGTTGGACAGTCATCGTGCCGCCGAATTTGTGTAATGATTGCACATAAACACTACAAATCTTGCACAGAGGTTGCGATCATCTATGAATGAAATATTAGCTTCAGGATATACAACTATAGCATAATGGGCACTGTTCTCTTTGTTAGGTGGCGGAATCTAACATAATGTTCGCTTTTCTATATTCCAATATTGGAGAGTGAGACACCTTCTTCACCATATCGACGCCTCTGCGCCTTCGAAGTTCAGACACTTGTGGGTGTAGATGTACCTTGTTCCGTAGAGCCCGAAACAGTTCACCGAGTCAAAATTTTTGCGAATGGTGCTGAAATGCCAGCGTTGACGTAGGCTACTGGGGTGTGCCACAAGCGGAGGTCTATCTATCAGCTTGTCTCCCAAGCAAATGACACCATATCGAATAGTTTCGCCATCAGGTCCCCGCAAATGTCATTCGAATTTCAAAAAATGACATGATGTATACCTCGTGTCCCAGGTCTATGCCCGCATGACCAAAGCCGGCCTCAGATTTGCAGTTCTCAATGTCACTTTGTTATTCATGTGTACAGGAAGACAGTAGCCCTGATGTGTCTTCATGCAGTCAACGTAACCTATCCGGCATAATCAATGACACATGTGTGTACAAGAGGCTAGGAACCAGCGGGAACTTCCTAGTCAACCTGACAAGCAGACCATATTCTCCACTGCTACCCCTGTAAATGATGGCCAAGACAGATATATCACTGTTCGACGTTCACTCATCAAAGTCGGTATCTGTGACGATATGCACAAGGATATACATACCAGCGATGCTAGTACTGTCTAGTTAATATTGAAAAACCAAGTATTTCTCCCTCCAAGGAAGCCGCTCCACTTTGCTAAAGATGCCGGCCAGAGATCACCTCTCCCGCATCTATGACGATCAGTTCTGTAACAATAATACCGATATACACAACATAATGCACAGAGGCATCTGTAAGATATCATGTTGTGCTGTACAAAGAGTCTTTTACCCGGGTCCGACAGATGCTTGCATAATGGTAGATCATGGTCAAAGGCTGTCTCAATGTACACGAGAGGTGTTTATGATTACGTGGAGTAAGCCCAGGAATTAGCAAGGCTTAATGTAATAGGGAAATTCCACCAGGAGTTTGTAGATGCTCATGGTAGGCGTTGCTGACCTTCATGGAGCTGCAAGCATGGTCAATGTCCAGCGCCAATTGCTTGAATGGCTCTGGCTCGACAAAGGGAACTCCGACAAGGTTGCGCAAGAAAACAAGATAAAAGCCCATATTCCCTCTCGTCACCATGCCGGTTCTGCCACCAACTGAACTGAGTCATGGCTGAGGTCCAACTTATTGCCACCCTGCGACCGGCCCCGGGAAAGGAGACTGAGGTATGCGCCCCTTACCTCGCGCTTTGTCAGGCATTGCTGATAATCCACTGATATTCGCCGCTATATCAGGTTAGACACCTTCTTTGCGACACGGCCCGTCTTGTGGAGCAGGCAGAACCATCGTGCTTGGCATTCCTTCTAACAGAACATCATCGAGTTGATGGTACCTTAGAGTTCAGAGTCATTGAAAGGCATGTGTCGCACGGGCCTGGTTGAGATCTCTGTAAGATAATCAGTTGACCGGTTACACAGATGGGCCAATATCAATGCCCTTGAGCACCACCATAGTCGTCCCTGGCTCCGCCAGATGTATTCAACATTTTGGGAGAAGCAGCTATTAGACGGTCCAGAGCAGATTGAGATGCTGACAGTTATTGCTGGGTTTGCCGTGCGTTAGAACGGGTCTTCATATTCGAGATACTGAAAACATATCCCTGCAGAGCACGGCTGGATGACTACCAACAATCAAGGGTATATGCTGACTACAAGAATCGTCATTGATGTGGTGTAACTTTTCGGACCCGAATATGTTTTTCCACACAAAATGAACCAAATCTCTTTAGCTGCCAAATAGAATGACTACTTGTGCCACGACATAGGCAGGAAGTGCGGGCGGAGTGTCCTGTTGGAAGTGATCGAACCATTGCCACTGGAACTGCAAGTCTCAATGTCCTCGATATACGGAATGAGCCACAATTACAGACCCGGAAATCTCGCAGTAGTGTGACACACGGTAGTCTAAGTTAATGGTTTGAGAGGACTAACCGACTTCCTTGCTTTTGTTCTGTCCTCCAGTCAATGCCAAGGCACAGCCTGGAGACACAAGAGATGTCAGATTTTACGAACAACACTATAATCACATATTGTGATAAGTTTGCAACTAAAGTGAAGACTCCACGGTATCTTCGGCGCGAGCCATTGTATGACATTGATCTAATTTCCAACTATTGAAGAAGTCGCACAACCATGGGGCCGTACCATCCTTCCTGCTGGAATTTCTGGGATTGATAAGGTGTCCGGGCTTACAAGAGCCTAGGCTCCAGTGACTTAAATATTATATCTCTCGGTGGACATAGACTGTATCCTGCGCCTCAAATGCAGCATATGCGACCGTGTTGCACAGCCTTGCATTCCCGCTCTGTCCCTCCGCAACATGTTGGTGAAGCAGATCCGGTCATCAACCACTTTTGCAGTCATTGTGGTCTGCGTGGCGGTTTTTACTGATATCTTCCTCTATGGACTAGTCGTGCCTGTGCTTCCATTTGCCCTCGCCGAGCGTGTAGGTCTCACTGATGCCGATATTCAGCGTTGGAATTCCATCTTACTTGCCAGCTACGGGGCATCCATCATGCTGGGCTCATGTACGTGCATCCATTGTCAGTAGAACCTCACTGCATGCACATACTTATTGATTTATGGTCACAGTGCTATTCGGTTGGATGGGCGACCGAACTCGTACGAAGCAGCTGCCATTTTTGCTTGGGGTCGGGGTTATGGGGGGTGCTACACTGCTCTTTTCGCTTACCGGCTCATTGACTCTGATCCTTCTCGCTCGAATCCTACAGGGCTGCTCCACTGCCATAGTATTTACCATCGGCTTTAGTCTGATGCTGGACACAGTTGGTGAACAACACATAGGACGTGCCATCGGCTTTACGAGCATGAGTCTCAGCGTTGGCTTATTCGCAGGGCCCATCGTGGGTGGGCTTCTATATGATCTAGCGGGATACTTCGCCGTGTTTGTCCCAGCCTTCGTGCTTGTAGTACTGGAGTTTGTGCTACGGGTGCTTCTCATCACGCCGTCGCATGAGATTGATGTCAAGCAAGACCTCTCCGACGAGGAGGGGCGTCCGCTAATGTCAGACGTGGCAGGTACTCCTGTTACAGGCTCTCCAAGGAAGCCTGCATTGTTATACTTGATATGCATGCCTAGGTTCCTCGTGGCAATGGTGGGAATGTTCATGCTGAACTCGTTCATGACTTCCTTGGAGGCCGTACTGCCCGTGTATCTCCCCGAGGTTTTTCCCTACCGGTCGACAGACATCGCCATTGTATTTTTGTCCAATACCCTTCCTATGATCTGCTCTCCGCTTGGCGGATTTGTGGTGGATCGCTTTGGTCCGTTCTGGCCGGCGATTCTGGGCTTTGCATTAATTACTCCGAGCCTTATGCTGCTCTCGTTGATACTTAAACCGACGGAAGTAATGTCAGTGCTGCTCCGCCTGTTTTTATTCCTTTTCGGTTGTGGGGTATCACTTGCCATGCCTGCAATGATGACAGAAATTACCTTAGCCAAGGACGACATGGAGAAGAGACGTCCAGGGATCTTCGGGGATGAAGGGGCGTCTTCGCAAGCTTACGGTCTAAGTAACGCCGCATTTGCTGCTGGGACACTGGTTGGGCCTCTGTATGCCGGATACATTCGGGAAGCTCTGAGTTGGGCGACCATGGCCATCTCACTAGGAACCTTCAGTGCTTTGATGATGATTCTCGCTATTGCATTCACTCCCATGAAAAGGTCAAGGGGTACGGCGCGCTCCAATTCCCAGATCATCTAGGCAACGGGGTGTTATGTATGAAACTACCTAGAAAAGGCATCTTGCATTATATTCATAGGAAGCCCGATCACATTCTTAGTTCATCTTGGCGGGCATATTTACTGGATACTCCTCCGACTCGACGATCTCTGAAAAGAAAAGCCCATGAGCCCTACGCACTGCATCCAGTATCTCGATGACAGTCAGGCTTTCCGTCCACGGCATGATTGCACTTTCCAGGCGTTCATCTCGGACACAACGGGCGACCTCGTCCGCTTCGAAGCAAAGCCCATGTGCGCCCCCTGGAACTCGATACTCGAACTCTTCCCCTCCACCTGTAATACCAAACTGCTGCACTCGTTTGATGATCCGGTACTTGGACGGACACCAAGGCCGGCCATAGATCTGGATTTCCCCGCTGTCTCCCTGGATTCGTACTACTGGGGTGTGACCATCCGGATCCGCCATGGCGCGTAGGCTGGAACTGGCAGTCGCCTGCACGGATTCAAGCGACGGACTTGTGCCAGGGAAGGTCATAAGAATGGTTGTCGATTCATCCACCCCGGCGCCAAGAAGGGGTGTTATTGCTGATAGGATGCTGCTGGGCTTGGGATCGGGCCTGGGAGCGAGGGTCTGCATGATCCAGTGGACTGGGTATACGCCCACTAAAGTCCAGCCATCGTTAGTATCGCTCCGTGCAGAGAAGCTAAGCATCACGTACAATCTAGTAACGCGCCCCCAGCCAACTCCTTCTTGGTAAGATAGCTGTCCTTCAACTCCTTCAAAAAGTTCGTTCCGATCGAGTTATCAGCAAAGATCCGAATAACGGGCCCAATGGCGCCATTCTGGACTTCTTGCCGAATCTGAGCCGAGATTGGCAGGAAGCGTGTCCACATGGCTTCCATGAGGAAAAGTTTACGCGCGCGAGCGGTCTCGACGAGTCGATGTGCCTGTCTAACCGTCACAGTAAAGGGCTTCTCGCAGAGCACATGCTTTCCGGCCTGCAGCCCGAGCATAGAATTCTGGTAGTGATGGGAATGTGGAGAGGCGACGTAGACGACATCTACGCGGGGGTCCGCCACCAGAGCGTCGTAGCTACCATACGCAATGCAGGACGACGGCGCTCCGACCTTGTTGATGAAGCGGCTGGCGATCTCGGTGGATCGCGAAGATGCCACCGCCACCAATAAATGCGACACATCAGTAACACCTCGTGAGGCGGGATGAATGAGAAGGTCTTTCGCAAATGCTACATAGCGGGTTAGCCGGTGAGAATCATAGCACTACTTGTCAAGTGTAATACTCTCAGCGATGCTTCCTGTGGCTATTAGAAGTCAACAGTCTGATAAACGTATCCGCGGACAAGGCAATGTAAGCAAGACACATACCGATAATGCCCCAACGGAGGCCGAATGGCACGGGCACAGAATGGGAACTCATGTCGATGAATAGGTAGATGGCCGACCTCACTCAACCCCATAACCCAGAGCTGGGCATGAAATCGATAGCTATTCGTGGACAAAAAATAGAACATGTCCATTGAGCACCTATAGCGGGCCAGGTCATCTCAAGTTGGAGAGCCTTTACCTGTGCACCCACCCACATTCAGACCGAGAAGCACTTGTGCAAACACTCCATGGTGTGACAGGCGTTGGACAGGCTGACACACTATCCTGTCACGACAGCCATAAGGGAGGGGTTTGTGTTACATGTCATAATAGCACAAGGATGGATTATATCAGCAAGGGATGACCAGGAATTAAAAATGCGTCTGACAGTGTCCTTCACGACCCACGACTTCAGGAAAACCAACATCTTTCGGCAACCGACGTCCGAGCGTCCGTTGCTTGCGCACATGACAGCTATCAAGCAGCCAAGATGGAGAGGAAGGCGCAAGGGGGGTGTGACTAATCATATATGTTGTAAGAGGATTCCAGATAGCTAATCACCTTCCTTTAATTTCTTGACTCGGATGAAAAGCGTACCAATATTCCTTAGCAAGAGTCAGTTCCTAAGTGTTCGAAAGTTGCCATGCCGGGGGCAAGCATACCCACTTTCCAGCCAACCGTCACCGGCCAGGAACTGGAGGCCATCCAAGAGGTACTCGACAACCGAATTCTGACGGGAAAAGGGAAATACACGGCATTGTGCCAGCGATGGCTTGAATCAAGCATGCCACATGGCAGGGCCTTTGTCTTGAGCTCGTGCACTTCGGCCTTGGAAATTGCGGCCTTCCTAGCCGATCTGCGGCCAGGGGATGAAGTGATTGTACCGAGCTATACGTACGTGTCGACAGTCAATGCGTTTGTTGTCCATGGGGCTCTACCGGTCTTTGTTGATGTGGAAGAGACGACCATGAACATCGATGCGCAGAAGATCGAGAACGTCATCACGCCCCGGACCAAGGCCATTGTGCCGGTGCACTATGCTGGAATCGCCTGCGACATGGACACCATACTGGATATTGCCTATCGTCATGACCTGCTCGTGATTGAGGATGCCGCCATGGCCTGCGGCAGCATGTATCGAGGACGTGCGATGGGAACCATGGGACACCTGGGTTGCATCAGTTTCCAAGAGAAAAAAATATTCACCAGTGGCGGCCAGGGAGGGGCATTACTCGTCAATCAGGACGCACTCGTGGCGCGGGCTGAGATCCTATACGAACACGGCACGAACCGAGCTCAATTTCTACGTGGTGAAGTGGATGTCTATCGTTGGCTAGATGTCGGGATTAATGCAACCCTAAGTGAGATCCAAGCAGCCTTTCTCTACGCCCAGTTTCAAGCCGCACCAGAGATCATTTCACACCGCCGACGTCTCTGGTCTCGCTATCACAAACGCCTGGCCCCTCTGGCCCAGGCGGGCATCATCCGCCTACCCCAGCCGGCTGCGGAGGCGGACCATAACGCAGCCGTCTTCTGGCTTCGGTTGGCTAATGCCTCGGACAGACCTGCTTTCATCGAGCATATGGCGGCCGGACGGATTCAGACACAGGCCCAATTCGTGCCGTTACACTCTTCTCCGTTCGGCAAACAGGTCGGGCGCTTTCACGGCGAAGATCGGGTGACCACACGCGCCGCAGCGGAAATTGTCTTGTTACCACTCTACGCGGAGCTTACGGAAAGGCAACAGGACCTCGTTATTCAACGCGTTTGGGGGTTCTGGCGGGAAGCAACGAACATTCCAACATTTGAAGACCCCCACGATGCTGAGGTAATATGTTCTTAGGCGACATTCTGGGTTTGGAAGTGTAACTAGCACTGTTTTCCTCCCAAGCTTGAAACAGAAGGGGGGCGCTGCTAGCAGCAATGGTGAGCTCAATTCGATTTACCCCTCGCGATGGATATATTTTCCGGATATGTAAAGGACGTCCGAAATTAGATATCGCTGGGATCAGAACCGAGTTGCATTACAAGTAGTAAAACGTGGTCGAGGAAAACCATTCTTGACATTCGGGACGAGTCTGTTATGCACGGAGTCTCCCCTAATCTTGCATTCCATCCAAGCATTCTCAGGAGCGCCCTTTCACCGTGTGGGCGTCTTTACTGGTGGTTCGCGTAACAGTAAATCCCAAGATCCTACAAAACGCCTTCAGCGCATGGCCGAGAATGTACAGCCCCAGACTGATGAAGTTTAACCACACTAGGGCGATAAAGTAGACGACTGCCTGAGGTGGGATCCAACGAAATAGTTGTGTCGGATCAAAGCCGGCCTTTTCCTTGAAGTCATTAATCTCAGCCAGGGCCGTCGTCGTCTGGGGCTGATCGGGCATCGGCTCAGTCTGCCAGTTTTCCGAGAAGTTGGGGTCGTTGTAAATCACGGTCGCCATGACGCCGCCAAAGAAGGTCAGCAGAAGCAGGAGGAGTCCTTTGGTCAGCAGCTCGTACAGCCATGTGCTGCAGAAAGAGATGATAATGAGCGCGCCCCGTCGAGAACCATTGTCTGCTGTTGCAAGGAGATGCGCGATGGTTCTTTCCTCGGTGGGGGCGACAGGCTGAAGGCGGACCAGCAATCGGCAGACGAGGAAGGTGAGCAAGCTGATGGAGGCGGCCTGCGCGGTGAATTTGGATTCGGTATTGAGGACATTAATGGCGGTCAAACTCAACGCAGTGACGGCCCACGAGGATAGAAAGCCAACAGCGAGAAAGGTGGAAATCTGTCCATTGAGGCGGGAGAGGGCAGCCATGGCAAGATAGCAAATAGCACAACTCGTGGTTGGTGTGAAGTTGACCTTTCCCACCCTCTGAAACCGGAGTTTCCGAGTTTTATATCCTACAGGTGATGCTTGGCGAACCAATCTAATAGCTTTGGACCCTTGGGCCATGGATGAGCCGGACAGCGATAGTGTCGACAGGGCCATCGCCCATTCCCGAAAGAGGTGAAGACGAGGCTATTCCAGGCTTAATATGGAAGGCGGACGCTGCTCAAGTGAGACACGCCCCACTGTTCGTCTTTCATCTCCTATCGGAGTGGAAACTCCTTCATCTCCGGATACCTGACGAGTGCTAGGTAGATGTCCAGTGGCAGGCAGACATGGCTGCCTGTCAAGCACGGTTCCAACCTCTCACAGTGAGTGAAAGTCAGCCAGCCAAATCTATTTGGCTCAGAGTTTGCGACGGTGGAGCACCCAGGAACGTCAATAAGAATGAAGTCAGTTATAAGAGCTGAGATAGGAGGATGTACTTTTGCGAAAGGGCACTGATGGAGGACCCGTTGGGCTCTGAGTGATCCTTCCAGGGGCCATTCTGTGTTGAGCCGGGCAGAATCTCCTGTCTATAACAAGTTGGCAGACTGCAACCGCATCAACATGACGTTTGTCTTGAATATTCATGCGCCTACTCTGATCTAGAGAATGCCGGGAAGACATTATATACAATAAAGACGTGTCTCCTTTCCCATTGGAGTTGCCCTTCATTCCCGTTGCAAACTCTTCGCGGGAGTCTCGGATAGACTCCTCGCCAAGACATTTCCCTAGCCCCCAACGAGAGTCTGAAAATCCTGATCAAAGGGACCCATTACTATCAGCATAGATGCTGACTAGGTATTTCAAGGTGGAAAAAATCCAGCAAAGACTGATAAATCCATTATCCTCCTCCATGCGGCTTTTCTCTTCGCGATAAGTCTTTTATGTGTAGGATTCCTACCGGGAATCTACCGAGCATCGGAGAATCCTCGGAAGGCAAAATGGGATTGAACTGAATCGGATTATTCAGTGTGTCTGTCCAGAGAACCGAGAAGCCAGAATCTAGGAACGGACTCGTGCCGGCTGGTTCCCTCGTGGTTGATTCCGTGCACGTTCCATCCACCACGAACCATATCACACAACTTTATAAAATATTCATCTCGCATTGAAGTACATTATCACTGTACCGAATATTCACTGGACACAGTCATCGGTATTTACCCCCGATGACCGGCTGAAGTGGAAATCTTTGACATCTTTTTGGTCCTTCCCACGACAGCCCCCCGATCGATCGATGGGGAGGGGAAATGGCCATCCATGGCCCAATAACTCAGGTTGATCGGTGACGATGACCACAGAGGACCGTCATTGAGCGGGGGTTTGCAGTGGGTTATCTCTGCCGACCAGGGCCAACCAGCGAAGCATTTTGGGGATCAGGCCAGGAACCAAACCCTGTTGCGTGTCTATTCTTTTGCCTCTCAAGCTTTCCGACAAGCCCCAGCAGGATCCACTCATGACGCCAGTCTTTCCATGTCTTCAACGCTCCCCCAATAGTCTGCCCGCACCATCGCAACCCACTGGCCTGTATTTTGTAGATCTGGCGCATCAACTTGGCTCAATGACTGGGGCGGATGCGCTCGCTTACGCCGTCGCTGCAGTCTCTGGTCCAGTCGGAGAAGCGGAGAGGGCGCCAGCATGTCGTCGTCATGGTCCATGCTGCTCCTTCACGGCAGGCATTGTTCTCCTATTCTTTATTGTACCCTACCCCTGTTGCTCACTAGCTGGTTCTTAAACATCCGGAACACCGGCTGGGGATCTGGGTGTCTCTCGTAGCCATTGCTTCCAATTGAGTCGGCCATCCACATCCCGTCAGCAGTAGCAATTTTATCATCCTCCGAGCAAGCATATAGCATCTAATACCGTCACATCATGGATGACGGGGAGCCCAGGCGCCCACGGGCAACGGTATGTTCACACGCATTCCCCTGCAGCTGCACCAGGAGCTGATCGGAGGGTGTTCTCCTCGCCTGAGCAGTCCGATGCGATCTCCCCTCGAGGAGAGAATCCTCCCACCTCACCTTTATCACCCACCCGCGGCCGTCGAGGAACTGCTGGTGACGCCGACTTCGTTTCTCCCACCCGCCGTGTGTCCGGTCGTGATGGCTCCGGGGCTGGAGTTCGTCGACGCAGTTCCGCCGCTTCCCGCCGCAGTGGTGGCAGTGGCATTCCCAGTTTGGCGCCACGCACCACGCTGGCTGAACGAACCCAAGGTCGCTTCACCATGGCTGGTCCCGATGAGACGCCTCAGCTGCGCTTGGCCCATGAACCGTTTGTGCAACCCGGCTACGGCGATCTCAATCCATCCTACGAACAGCCCGCCAACTCCAAACCAGTCTGGGGTTTGGCGAAGCCACTCCCTCGTGTCGTCCGACCGGGCATGGTTCCGACGAAGGAGGAGCTGTTGGAAGCCCGTCAAAACATTCAGCTGCCAGCCGAAAACTCACAGAAGCTGGGGCTGGAGGTCGACCCCAATGACCTGGAGCAAGGCCAAATCGAGAAGTCGGCTGACCCTCGTAAAATGGCGGCCCAGGTGGAAGATGCCCGGATTCAACGCGAGAACAATTTCATGAACAAGATTCTGAGTGGGGATGCCACCACAACGCGACAAGGCTCGCGCCTCTCGCGCACTTCGTCATCGCGCATCCGCCGTCCATCTGCCTGGGATCTCCCGCCGGAGAATCTGTCAACAGTGCCCGAAGGCGAGACGCCGGCTCCCAGTGAGACCCAGGAGGAACCCCCTCAAATGAGTAGTGAGGAGCCCTTGGAGCCCGTGCCGGAGGAGCCCGAGCTGCGCGCTGACGATGGCAAGGACGGCATGATGATGGACGACCTGCCCAACTTGGAGGAGATCGAGGCCGCCTATCCGGAAGACCTGCATCCGCTGGTGCAGGAGCTTGTGGAGGAGGAGGTGCACAACAACCACACCACCTGGTCCGTCATCCGCACCCATCACCGCGAAGCCCTGGCCGAGTCCCTGGGTGTCTTCGTGCAGCTATTCGTCGGCTTTTGCGGCGATCTGGCAGTGACCGTGGCCGACGCCGGTAATCCCAACACCACCGACTGGGTCTGGGGGTTTGCTACCATGATGGCCATCTACGTCTCTGGTGGTGTGTCCGGTGCCCATCTCAATCCAACCATCACCATCATGCTCTGGTTCTACCGTGGCTTCCCCAAGAGCAAGATGCCCGAGTACTTTGCTGCACAGTTTTTGGGGGCCTTCATCGCCGCCCTCGCCGCGTACGGTCTCTACTACCACTCCATCCAACACTATCTCTTGACCAACTCCACCACGGGCATCATCACCAGCTTCGTGACCAGTCAGCGCGAGACCTGGATCGGTCCTGGCACTGCCTTCTTCACCGAATTCTTGGGCACGATGGTGCTGACGGTGGTGGTCCTGGCACTGGGTGACGATCAGAACGCACCCCCGGGAGCAGGTATGAACTCACTGATCGTGGGTCTCATGGTGACCTGCAATACGATGAGCTTTGCCTACCAGACGGGTGCCGCCTTGAATCCGAGTCGAGACTTTGGCCCGCGACTGGCGTTGCTGGCTCTGGGGTACGGCTCGTCGCTGTTCACCAATCCATACTGGTTTTATGGGCCATGGGCCGGATCCCTCGCGGGCTCTTTCCTCGGTGCCTTCCTGTACGATTTCTTCATCTTCACGGGTGGTGAGTCGCCGGTTAACTACCCCTGGGAACGGACACAGCGGGCGATGCGCAAGAGTCGGATGAAGTGGGGGAAGCGGTTGCATCTGTCCCGCCGAGACCGGGGAGAGAAGACTGTGCGTTAAATAACGGTCGCGTAGATACATATGGAGTTTTACATTGCCGGTTGATTCAGTATATTGTCTGAGAAAGCTTTGCAACTTGCGTGAGGGATGGACCATGGTGTATGTAGTTATAGGATACACTCAGAGTGACCGCATAGAGCGATAATGGTTGTACATAAGCATTGATGAATTTGTTTTGATATAATATGGACAGTTGCATTCATCTTATCTTCGGTGTTATTACAGTTGTCAGGATACCAGTAGTACTTTGTGCATGCATCTAGTTGGCAGTTTCTGCTCGCCTGTTTGTTCTATTACGTAGTATTCTACAGTATATATTGTGCCCCTGCGGCCACCCGATCGGTATCCCGAGCCAAATATCGGACCACTTCGGCAATCGACCGGGATGCGGGCGGATTGATAAGGTCTTGTTGACCAGATATTGATTCTTATCTGGCATCAGTTGTTCTTTCATCATCTGTGCCAGCGTGCCTGGTTGAGAGCGACTCCACTGCGAGTTGAAAATGACGTCACCAACCATTGCCTCCGAAACCATGAGAGAATTGGATATGATGCCCGGTGATGTCCAGGAAAGGCAACAGATGATAAATAGAAAACAACAGGATATTTGGACACGCGGTCGGGAGACAACGGTTATTTAGCCCGTGGAGAACCCTACCACCTGGCCATGATTGTTAGTCCGACTCCTCCGTCCTCTTGCCCACCATCACCATCCCCATCGACATGAGCCAGCATGCAGAAGGAGGCTATACAATGTCTCCCATTCGCAGGGTTACCTCATCGGTAGCCTGGGGCTGGTATGCCATCTCACTCAGCTGGGGTGGGATAGCGGTACTGCTGCACCAGACCCCAAACCAGTTCACCGGCCTCACGACCATCGGAACCATCGTCTTCATCGCCAACCTCGTTATCTACACCACAGTTACCCTCTGTCTCCTATTCGAGGCTGTCCGACCACAGAAGGCCCCTAAGCCCCTGGAAGAATCGCCCAATTTCGCCGCCCGGTGGCTGCATATCAAGAAGCCCCAGGACCTGTACTTTGTCCCTGTTTCGCTGCTCGCCTTTGCGACCATCATCTTCTGCACCTCCTACTATGGCACCCCGCATTGTGGCCGCTGGTTAATCCTCACCCTGAACGTCTTCTTCT